ATTCCATAGATCAGATTTTTCAGAAAAATTATGGGGGAAGGCATCTAACTCATTGTGTTCTTTGCTTTTTAGGAATTGGCTGTCTGCTGATACTAAAGAAGAGCGTAACCTTTGGATGCAAAAGCTAAACCAAGTTCTTGTTGACCTTCGTATGTGGCAACCTGATGCTTGCTATAAACCAATTGGAAAGCTTTAAGCACTGGAAGGGGAATATGAAGAAAATATATACATGCAAAAGGTCACATGAACTACGCAAAGAAAAAAGTTAAATGAAAATTTGTGGAAAGTTCTCTGGATCACTTCAGCTTTAAATTTGAGAGTACATACCTTTATATAGGACTCTTATGCAGTATTTTTCTCTCACTTTAAGAGTTTTAAAACTTTTTTCCTAGCTTTTGAGTGTGGTAGGAAGCAATTAGCTGTTTCTAAATATGCTAAATATTTATATAACTCCTTTTTTTGGAAGTCTATTTGGCTAAGTACATTCTCTTCTTGAAATAACTAAATTATTGGAGGAAATCGCACTTCTGGGGAATGAGGAAGGTGGGGAAAGCTAGTGAATACACAAGCTTACTAGTTAACTCAGCTCCTTGAAAGAAACATTAGCTCAGAGTTATATCAGAAGGATGGTGCTGAAGAAGGAATTTTAATGTTGGAGCATTTCTTATAATGATCAGGCAAAGTAGTTAATAGCAAACTTTATTCTACAACATGCAGCATAAGCATTTCTTGCTTTCACAATATCCTTTTCTTCTGGTCAGAACAAAAGATGTGCACAATGTTCATACTTCTTTGTATTAGATTTTTATGCTGTTTCTCATACCAAGCTGGTATGGATGCATGTATGCTATATGGTTTACAGGTATGGAATTATGTATGCAGTACATTGCACTTTGATAGAAATTAAAGGTCTTGAATATTTTTGTTAGGACTACTATATAAAAATTAGTTCTAGGTTTGCGTATGTCATTATGTATTAGAACTCATGATTTGTACAAGCTTGAATTCTACTTGATTTGAGAACCAGAAATAGATTATAAAATTGCTTTTTCTGTAAGACTATAAAGCTGTGTTCTACCAACTAATATTCTTGCCGTAAGTATGGATCTTCTCCCCTGCCATAGTCATGTCCATAAATGCAGACAAAAAGAATACTTCAGACCCATCATTTAAAATGGCAGAACTAGTCAGTTGATGTTCCTGCAGTTTTCAAAGCTTTTCACTGGCTTAGTGAAATACTATCTCATTACCCCACTATTGCACATGCAGTAGTGGAATACTGTTAAGTTGTTATTCCTGTTGTATATTCACACTTGAAACACTAAATTCTGTTATCTTAAACTGTTTTCATCCAGCCACTTTTGTACTTTTGCCTTTAAACCTAGTTTTCTTTTCCAGATGTTCTTAAATATTTCCAAATTATGTATTGAAATATATTTTATCCCTTTAAAATAAATAATAACTTTATGTAACTTCTCCTAATGTCATCTGTGCATTTGAGACACTAGTCTGAAGACAAAAAGCTAGATTCCATGTGGTGTTTGGGAAATTCTATTCAGTATGTATATCCAAAAATACCTCCTGATTTGGGAATATAATGCAACATCTTAGGGGTAGCTAGCGCCAGATTATTTATGGGCAGTTACTATGAATATGGTTGGAACATACATGGGTGTAGAAGCAGCTAGACACGAGCAGTTCATTGAGTGTGATGAGGAGAGATGGTTCTCATCTCACATAGTAAAGACATGGCAGCAGAGTAACAATGGTACATGAACAGTGGCAGTACAAATTTCATCCGTGGATTCTTGGTAGGCTGAGTTATGAAGCAAGAGTCTATAGAAAGGAGTGACATGCTTTCATTTGGACTGTATTTTCAATTTGAACTATTATCCATTGTAGAAACCTATGTGTTTTATTATTGCTGAAAATGGAAAAAATATCAAGGAAATGTATGAACTTTAACAGGTGATGCAAGTTTGAAAACCTGACCTGAACATAAATTGTCAGTGACTAAATGTACTGCTGCAGTCAGCAGAAGCACGTGACACCTGCTTAGCAACAAGCCTCCATTTACACCTCTACTGGCTTGCACTAATGCCTACCTCCTCTCTCACATCTCCCAATTCCTTCAAGGGTGAGCTGTGGAAAAATTTTTTTGAAAATGTAGGCAGGGATCATCTGTTTTCTGAGCACTGCAAGATAGGCATGAGGGAGTAAGGAAAATGCAGATGTGAGGGAGAGGGTTATTTGAGGGTTTTTTTTCTGCAAGTGTATTAGAACCTTGATGAATGTTGAAAGCGGAGAGACTACAGAACAACAGTTCAGTTTAAACTTGTACTCTACCATAACATTAAAAAATGATTGTGCTGTCTGAATCCCAGAATCCTCGAGGTCTTGCATGTTTGTATTTTTTTTTTCCTGAAGTGGAAAGACAAATACAGCTACAGGGTTTGAAAAGTGGGATGGAAACGTCACCAAGATGTGAGAGCTTTCAGCTCTACAGGTTAGAGTTTTCTCATATTTGTTGTTGATCCTTTTGTAGTAGGCCAGGCCAATTGAATTCAAATAGCTTCAGGTAGATGTAGCTCTATAACCCAAAAATAGTTTCTCTGATACTCTCATATTGCAAAGCATTAAGTTGTTATAAAATAGTCGAACAGAAAAACAACAGCAAAAGCCTCCTGTGTTTAGTGCACTGAAACCATGTGCTGTAAGGCATTGATGAAATCCCCCTGTGTCTACATTGTTCAACTATGTGGGGGGGATGCCCAAGATAAGACATTCCTTCTTAAAAATCTGTACTATTAATAAAGCTTGATTTCATGGTGCTATACATAGCTTTCCAAGGGCATTTTTTTTCTTTTATTCAGGCATTTGTCCTTGTCATCCTAAGCATCAGGAGATGGTTAAATTAGGGAAATAGACTAGAATACATAGCTCACTGCTGCTTTAGATTAAGCTTTGTCAGAACCAGCTGTTTAAAATGGGGTGTTTAAGTTACCACTGCTGCTCAAAAAGCATTTGGGCATGCAGATCTTCCACTGTTTTTTGTATTTTTGAAACAACAGATGTAGTACTAGTAAAAGGTGGTGACGTAATACACCCCAAGTTCATCTTTACTGGCAAATAGTTACTGCATTATTTACAAATCAAGTTTATGTGTACTGCCTGATCTTAAAGCTGAATTGCAGAGTTTGCTGCTGAGGCATGACATGGTTGGATTAGTGCTCCTGCAGCCAGTGGCAAACCCATTTTGTGAAGTCCCTCAAAGACCATATCAAGCATGGAGTAATTACACTGCTAGGGCAAGTCTAAGAGCTTTGGGGATTTCAGGCCTCTCTCGCCTTTTTATAAATTTAGAACATCCTCTTACTCTTCTTTTTTTCCATTATACACAATTTCAAGATGCTTACTAATAAATTCTACAAATGAATATGCTTTGCTCTGGGCAATGAAGCTTATTTTAACTGAGGAAATTTGTGTCTTACTAGCTTTTAAAACTCTTAATTGGCATTATCAAAGCCTAAGCTCAATTGGGATGCAGTAATGGCTTGAAAATTTGGCTTCTAAATGCAGTGTTCTCTTTCCTCCTTTGATTGCCACGTTTCTGTGTTTTGATATAAAGGAAATTATCCAGTATGAGTCTGGAGGTATTGTCCTTGCTGTACATGGTCTCTTGTAAAACAATGTGGATGCACTTGCTTTTTGTCCTGCTTTTGCTTTTAATGACAGTAAGAAACCTGACCTGGAAAGCGTATATTGAATGCCGTGCTATTTGGCAGAGATTTTTGTACAGCAAGCAGGTATGCTTCCTCTTCTAGAACTAAAGGGAATAATAGAATCATATCACGAGTTGGAAGGGACCCATAAGGATCATTGAGTCCAACTCCTGGCACCGCACAGGTCTACCCCAAATTTTAGACCATGGGACTAAGTGCACAGTACAAACGCTTCTTAAATTCTGACAGGCTTGGTGCAGTGACTATTTCTCTGGGGAGCCTGTCCCATGTGTGACCAATAGCGGAGGCATGTCTGAAGATGACTGAGTTGAAACTGTTTCTTGGGAGACAGTGGCTATTTTGGTAACATCTGAATGCCTTGAATGAAGTGGGACATGATAGTAAGTATCATTCAATTAAAGAATGCATTCCCTCTTGGTTTCCTAAAGATGAGTATTTCCCCAAACGTTAGTGGTTGTCCCACAAGAATTTAATCTTAATAAAAGATGCTGCACTGGCTGCACTTTAAAAAGAAATACAAAAAAATAGGGTATCTAGAATTTGCTTCAAAACAGTATTTGCAAGTACTCCTCTGCCTCTTCAAACTACAGAGCAGATGCAGCTCCTACAGATGTGGTCAGTGTGCTTGGGCCCGCGCACAGCCAGGCCGTCTGTCTGTCCTGCAGCCTCAGAGCTGGGTCACAGCTGATGCAGCCATATACACAGGCACATTCAGAACAAAAAAAAATAGAGTATAACTGAGCCCTGGCTAATTTTGATGGCTTTAGTCATGCTGTGTTAACACTTTCTATTTACCATATTTTTCCATGTGTAATTAGTGCTATTTTATGCTGTCTCATCCCTTTATCACCAGTAGGGCTGCTAGTAGAGCTGTATCTAATTTTGTTTGGGTATTCTGTGGTGGTGTTTTTTTAATTTTTGTTGTGTTCTTGTTTGCCTTTTTCTAGAAGTATTGGGTGAGCTGGTGAAATAAATACTTTTAATTCTCAACCTTTAATACTATGTGTAAAGTAGAGCAGGTAAGAGCTGCCCATTACCTTCAGCGATTCCTTAGGTCATACCTGCACAATGGTGGGACTTATTGTGCATATTGCATTTATTATGAAGCTAAAGAGTAGGGATGTGTTAAAGCTTTAAAAAGCAAGATGTGTTAAATACTTGAAGGGTTGTCAAGTTACGAGCTTGTTAATGGTGGGAAAGGGAACCTGTACTCAGTCAAGCTGAACTACTGCTGCCAGGCAAATCTAACGTCTAGTGTCTTGTTATTCCTCGCACGTTTTAATAAGCAAATAGCAGCTAAATAACATATTGACAGTTGAGGAAATTACATGTATACAACTCACAGCAACAAGATTAGGTTGGGTTCCCCCTCCCACCCCTTTTGGGATCAAATTAACTGTTGAAAGGTACAAATGGAAAGCCCAGAAATACGGTTCTGCAGGGAAAACAATGAGGTAGGGCTGGGGGGTTGCTGTATGTGGAAACAATCGCATTATGCATTTGCAAACCAGTACAATGAATGGTCTAGCTGGCAGGTATCCTTTGATTTTATTTTATTTTTGTAACTCCAAAGAAAAAGCTCAGTCTACTTGTACAGGTGGGTGACTTTGCAGTTAAGATACAGCACTGAAAAGAATGCTGCTATGCTAACTTCAGCACTACCATCTCTTTGTACTGCTATTTTGAACAACAACAACAAAAATAAGAGTGGCTCTTGTGCCCTCTGTTTCCTTTTGTTTTGGTCTCTAATCATGTTGTTTTCTGGAATGTACCAGGAAGCACCCCTGTGAACCGTGGCTCTGGCAGTTTGGGAGTCAGTGTCCACCTTGATCTTTGAATATAGCTTCAATCTGGTCATTGAATGGATTCTCCTTTCCAAGCACCTGAGGCCATTCGTGTAGTGCCTTCTGCCAGGTAATGCTTGTTCCCAGGGCTGCAGCAATCTGTGAACAGCACATATGAGACAAATTATCAATTTCTCGTGCCTGTATAATTCAGTGGCTTTATACCAGTCCCCATTAGAAGGCAGACTCCCCTCCATAAACATGTGATGGAGCGTAACCTCTAGCTAAAGAAAATACTCTGTTCCAGCTGCTTGAAGAGGTGAAAATCCATTTGAACAGTAAAATAAGGTGAGGATTACATATTATATTACTTCCCTGACCAGAGCAAAGACTGGATTTATCAACAAGAGCTCATTTCTGGTAAAATGGGCAGGGGGGGATTCCAAAAAGGTGTTTTTTTTTGTTTGTTTTTTGTTTTGTTTTGTTTTGTTTTAAGATCAAATGTGAAGCCTAACATTGAATAACCCTTTTTAAGTTACTTATCATAGAAGGAAAATGTGACCGTATGTGTAGCTCACAAGCATAAAGTTCTACTCTCTGTTACAGTTGTGTTTTGTCTTTGCAAAAGAGTTGTAAATTATTTTTATCAATTACAGGAAAATAAAGACATATAAGCAGACAATCAGGTCTAATGAGACTCTTCAACTATTTCCTGATGCCTACAGTGCATGGTCAACAAACTTCTGTTCAAAAGCCATAGAGTCTCACTTTTTTCCTCCAGAGCATTATGAAAATATTTCAAAAGCAGCGCTTGGATATAAGGTATAAATCTCCTGCCAGTCCAAAGGAATTCATGCTCTTGAATTCCTCTGATACTTCTAATAACTATTCTCTTTGCTATCCTGTAAGGAAACCCCAGGTGCTAGGAAAAAGAGGCCCAATTATATCCAGGTTCAAAACTAACCACCTCTGATTCTCTATGTCCACACCTGCTGCTGGCTGTCTTCAGAGCCTTTTCCCATGAGACCTGCAGAAAATGGTAAAACAGCTTTTCTCCTCGCTATCAGAACTGCTCTAGCCTTCATAGAGTGTTTGCCCTGGAAGTTATGCACTAAAGAGAAATTATATGTACTATTTTGCCAGGGTGAAAATCATCACGGGTAAGAGAAAGGGAAAGAGAATAGCCTGATTCTCCTTTAACCAAGTTTTCACACCCTGCTAACACATTTTTGTTTCAACTTCTGACCTACGGTTATATTTTGCCTACACAGTAACTTTACTTTCAAGTCTAAAACTCATGCTAACATTGATTATAATTACAAGGCTCAAATAGAGCTAACAAAGCCTTCGTACGAAGGCCCAAGATGGATTTATGCACTCAAACTATTTGAACCCTGTTTCAGAGTTTCAGAAAGAGACTGGAACCTTTGGGGAAATTTTATGTGCTTTTTTATGCTGTGCATTTGAAAAAAAGCTGTAATGATGGGCCAGGAGAAGAAAACTTTATTCAGAGCTAATGTACAGAGAGCCACATTTGCAGGGTGGAAGCTCTTGGACTCTTGTCATTTGCAGCCTCGTTAAGCTATCAGACATTAGGCAGGGGAGAGGGATAGGGGAGATTTTGTAACGTGGCATTTTTTTTCTTGGTACAAATTCCTAACTTGACCAAACAAGCTTCTGGGCCGCTCAGCGGCTGCCAGGCGGTTGAGACCTGTGTCAGAGTGGTCCTTTTTGGCATGGGAGTCTCCAAACCTCCCTCACAAGTCCCTAAGTCTTCCTTATGATTTTAGCAGGATGACTTTTTTTTTCTCTTTTTTTTTTTTTTTAACAAAACCAAACCCACTATCTTTGCATGTTGTACCCCCCTGAAAGAGTGAAAGAGTATCACAGGAGGTAAACTCTACAGTGTTCAGGCTGCTGTTGATTACAATTTAAGATGTGCTTGGAATGCCCTAAATAACATAGGTCCTGCTCAGACACCTGCTCACATGGTGCTGATAATTTGCAGTGGATGAGTGGATGAGTAGTGAGGCACAGAGAAAGGTTCATGACTCATGGAATCTTTTCTTTAGGTCCTTTTTAAATTCCAAACAGCTTGTGTTTTGGCACCAGTTAAATTTATTTTTATTTTTTGCATTTTTTAATTTTAATCTTAATTAACAAATAAATAAAATCCTGAACAATTTTTAAAGGAAATATTGCCTATTTCTTATAGAGTCCTGGATGACTGTGACTTTGAGGTGGCTGTGTTATTTTAGCAGCTTTTGGTTGTTTTTTCCTTCTGTACCAAAATGGGGGTGGGAATGTTTCTCAGCAAAGTATAAATACACAACTAATCTGATGTGTTTTGTTTCATTTTTTTTTTTCTCTTCCCTGGTTATAATGTGCTTTCCTAAGACTTAAAAAAGGAAAAAGAGAGAATCTAATCACACTGACGCTGTGCTTTCCTGCAAGTACATAATCATTAAGAATCTTCCAAGCATCCCTGTTTCCAGTTTGTGATGCTCAGGGCTTTTGCGCTCTCAGTGGTAACTTCATAAAAGCAAGAAATGAAGCTATTTGCACAGGATCCTCTTGAAATGCATGGTCGTGCCATACAAACAAAGCAATCAGCTGTTCCAGAGAGAAGCAATGTCCTTGAAGCCATCTGGCAATCAGGATGGTTTGCAGTGAGATTTGTAGGAAGGAAAAGCTGCTGAAAGCCCCTGGGCTCCCCCTCTAGTAAAGGGGAATAAATTTCTTCCAAGGACAGTCTTGGCAGGACTTGGGGGAGCACTGTCTCAGAGATTACTTTAGAGGGATCTTGGGAGGACTCAGGCATCATGCTTTTAGGAGTTAAAAGCAAATGGTGTGACTTTCATCCACTTACAGCTTGATCTGGGTGTTTTAGTTTTTAAACTTAAGAGAAATACAGATACACCAAGAATGAGTCATCTCCAGTTTTGCAGCTTAACGAAAACACGCAGGAAAATGCTCTTCTTCCTGTAGGAATGTCCCCTAATGAAATATAGGCCTGGGCTGGGCTAAACACGAGTGCTTGGTGTTTATTCCTTCCTTCAAGGGTTCTTAGATCAAAATACTCTCTGTGAACACTACGGAGACTTTTTTTCTTTTCTTCTTTTTTTCTCTAAGTGTCCTAGCCTAGCCTTTTTGATGCATGAAAAAACAGAATAGGTCTGATGGGACAAATGGGTGGTTGCCACCTTGCTTTTTTTCCTCATCCTTCTCTTTGCAGTGATTTATCCATGGCTGTCTGTTAGGAAGGTTCAATTCCCTTCCACTCTACTGCATAATTGGAGTGATGGTCTATTGGATATATGTGCTGACACCTGTTTACACAAGTGGATTATTTATTTCTTCAATTAATGAGATGCCAGATGAATGGCAGGTGAAATCCAGGGCAGATATCAGACTTCTCCTGCCAAGTAGTGCATAGTAACAAAGCGGGAGCATGGTGTTTCTCCAGCTCACCTTGGCACAGAGTGGCACTGTGCTTCTCACACCCCATGCTCAGTTTTTCTGCATCTGAAGGCAAGAGCTAAAATGTGTATATTTTCCTTAGGGTGCTGCTCAGTTCAAATATTCATGACTGTTTCTCTAATGCTTTGAGATCTTTGAGAAAAATGCTGTAAAAAAGATTGAGTTAGAACTTATCAGTCATATTTATTTGTTGGGCTGTGTGTGACAAGTGGGGAATAGCTGCAAAGATGGAAGTAAAAGATCCCCTTCACTTGACAAGCATCAGCTCTTGTGCTAGGCAGCACTAGATGGTATTAAAGCTGTATCTGGCCAGAGGCATTCACGTCGGTATAAAGTAAAACTTAAAATAAAACTTGCATAAGGAGTGAGTGAGTTGTTTATCATCTCTCTCAAGTGTACTCTTAAATATCACGCTGTGCTCACACTTCCCCTTCTTTGTCCTGAGAGCCACTCTTTCAGAGCAGAGTGCTCTGTCTCAGTCCCAAGAGCACTGTGTTGATAACAGACTTCCCTATAATAGCAGGAAAAGAAAAATGGATTTAAAGCAGTGGATGTTTGGATAAGGCTAATTAATAAATCCTAGAAGGGCAATAACTCACTTGAAGTGAGGCATATCTACAGCTGGCACCTTGACTGTACGGGAAAATGTACCTATAAAAGCATTAACGTCATCCGAACAGCAGGAGGGGGAGATGGTAACGACTGCAGGATGCCAGGCCCAGGGGGAGTGAAATACAGCAGCATGTGGCCAGGGCCTGCAGCCTGCCGCTCCAGGAGCTGCGCCCGGCTTGGTAGCTGCTCTTCCATGCCCTTCTGCAGCTTTCTTTTGGCTTAGGAAGGGTCCCTTCGAGAAGGATGCTTGCTGTGCCTGACTCCATGCTGCCTTGCAGCAGCTGGTGGGGTGCAGGGCATATGCAAGAGCCTGGAGGGGAGTCTGTGACCCAGTGAGCTTGGCTCCCTTGGTGGCTGGTTGCTGGTGTCTATGGGAAGCCTCAGGCCAGCCTCAGGGTATCGGGGTAAGGCATAAAAACAGCACAATGATCTTCTCTGTTCTGCTCCAGCCTCCTTCTGTGTATTTTCCCCAGGTAGCAGAAGTGGGAATGGGGTTTGTTTCATCACGGCTTTCACTCCTGTTTCATTTGCCAAGTTTTCTCCAATTGCTTCCTTTTAAAAGGCCTGCACCAAAAATATCCAGACACGCTTCCCCCATGTCCTCAGGCTCTAAGCCCATGCTTTCCCACAGCTTCCTCATGGTACTGCTTGGTAGCCAAGCAGGCATTATTTCTGCTATTAAGGGGCCCCTCTGTGACCAGGAAATTATTCTGACATGGCAAAGGTGAGGCAGCCAGCATGAATGTAAAAGACAGCAATGAAAACACTTATGCTTTGGATGTCCCTACGCCTTTCCCCACGGGCTGAAAAGGCAGTCCACAGAGAATATGTGTGGGGTTGGCTCCCATCGTTAAATCGCCTCAGAAATTCAGTCTGTGCTTTTGGGCACAGGGGTTGGCCCATTGTGGCACTGTTTGCTGGGCAGTCATACAGTTTTACTCAGGACCATATCAGGAAGATGGGCCACTCTTTTGTTTCCACTTTAATATTTCAAATGTGAATTTTTTTTCAACTGTGTACACACCTGAAACCTGAAGCTAGCCTATAGAAAATGCATTGCGTTGCTTGTAGCTGATTGCATGACGTGCTCTCCAAAAGCATTGCGCAGGTTCAGAAAAAAGTACTCTGAAAGTGAGCGCGGTGGGAACAGGGCAAACCTTGCACAAGGTCATCAAAGTGAGGAGTTACAGCCAAGCAGCTGTTTCTCCTTCCCTTTCATTCATTTCTGACTACAGACTTTCTCCTGCCACCCATCCCTGGAGGCCAAGGAATTGGGAGAGAAGTGCTTCATCATGTGGCTGCAGCGCATAAAGCAGGTATGGCTTCAAAACAAAAGCTCTGTTCCAGGCTAGGATGGGGGGCATCCATGGCCTTGGAGGCTGAGGATGTGAGATGTAGGGGCACGGACATGGGCAGGGTCTTCACCATGGTCATATTTATGGGTAGGGACGGGTCAGGGTCTCTCCTGAAAGGAACCTCTCCTCTTCCCCGCTGCAGGACACGTGGGCACCGCAGGCAGTGTGAGCAGCCAACCCAACGCAGGCGCTGGCATCCCTCCCACTATGAAACCCCTCACCTCGGGTCTGGATTTTACCTGGCTGGGGTGGAAGCCATCAACCGGCTCGATCAGCTGCCAGGGCTCGCCACCCATCTTGCGCCACTCCTCGGCCGCTGCCAAGCACACAAGCAGAGAGGTTACAGCACCGCGCTCCTCCTCCCAACGTCCCCGCTACTTTTAAGCTCACAACAGCTCTGCATGAAGATTATGATAATTTATATGAAGTTGTCAGAGCCAATACTGCATGAAATCCCCCTCTCCTTGGGGCAGTATTTAAGCTTTTATTGTATTTTTAGTGTTTTGTTTTTTTTTTAATCTGCAATATTTATGCAAGGAAGTGCTTTGAACATAAATGATTGTAAAAGAATTCACTTTCCCTCCTAACTAAGACTGAAGCTGTAGTGAGTAAAGCTATAAATTATTTAATACTGATTTAATTCTTTTGTATTTCCCATTTGAGTTGCAGCTTCAGCGGAGCAAAAAAAATATACGTGCGTACATATATATATATGACGAAAAGCTAAATAAAACAGTGATTTTTAGAGAAATAGAGGGTAACACAGTGTTTTCCGGGGCTGATGTCTGCAGGAATAAGATGTCATTTTCAGTTACTTTTCTTCTGAGTGATCTTTTTCAACTCCAACAGAATAACCTTTTGAATTACATAAGCATGACATTCAATGCAAATGCTGCTCTACTGTAAGCCCCAGAGCCATTAGAGAAGTAAAAAGCTTGCTTTCTTCAAAAGGGCTGTAGAGTGATCAAACGCGGGCCTGGTGGATATAGCATTAACAGACTGTAAATTTTATATCTTTTTTTTTTTTATAATGACAGATTAAGAATTCTTAATAGTGTTATGCAGGCAGCCCGTCATGAGAAAAATGTTCTCCTTTCAAGTGCTACAGTTCTGACCTAGGACCAGCACTGCTGGCTGGATTCTGGCTGTTGTGTCAAGAAGCAATGTCTGGGCAATCATTCTGACTTCGATTTCACAGAGTGGCGGTGTTCCCGCTTTAACTATAGAAATGTACTTGTGATGCTGTATTCAACAGCAAAATAACTTCTTTCAAGGCACAGGGCTTGAAGGTCTGCTTCAAAATTGCATGATACTGGACATGAAAACATTTTAATCCTATTTTACACCAGGGAGTACACGTGCTCACAACATACACATGGTGTGAACTAGCCCCTAACCCCTTGTATGATGTTATACACCAAGTATGAGGCTGTGTGCTGTAAAACACACTCAGTAGACGCTACTGTTCCAGTCCAGAAATAGCAAGTAAGTGAGGTTTCTATCAACAAAGGTCAATTTATTCCATTATGCTTGACCTCCAAAAATCCTAGAGCAATTCTGGGACAAATAGGCACTGAGTAGAGCTGGAGATTGCCTTAGAAGTGCCCATTGCCTAGGCTGGACTACAATAGAGCTTACTCACATCCCCACAAGAAAAAGCAACCCACACCCTGTATTTATTGCGCCCCTTTATAGAAACACTAAGCACTTCAGCCAAAGGCAGCATCTGAGCTTGCCTGTCCATCTAAACCTAGAATAAATGCTGGTGTACTCAGTTTTCATTCCAAGGAGATTAGCAGCTGCTATGTACACATGCACAGGCCCACCTGGAGTCAGTGTCCTCATGACAGCACGCAACCACCACTAAATATTTGATGCCTGGAGAGTCTAGGGGAGGATCTGCGCTTGCTTCAGAAAGAGACCAGGAAAGTAGGTCAGCAGCCTCAGCTCGCTTCTGAGCGCGCTTGCGAACTAACAGCTTTACTGACAGGAAGCTCATATGGTCGGCACCAGGGCTGCAGGAAACTTCGCAAAGTGTCTGTCAGAGCCGATGTTTGTATGTGCATGTGTGATTTTGTTTAGCTCATTTATTTAACGCGATGTAATCAAGTACAGCAAATTATATTAAGATGTTTCTTTTTGTGAAAGCAAATAAATTACCTGAAGTTAGTAATTGAACTTATTAAAGTAATTTGCCTACCCAGCAGGTAGTTTGTTCCAAACCCTAATGATTTGTTAAATATTAAGTAGCTGATACAAAACCCACAAAGAGACTTGGACATCCTGAAACTCTGTGCTATGATAGCTAACTTGCAGTGAGGTCTGTGTCTCCAAGCTAAGGTGGAAAAACTCCCTCTCCCATCCTCTTCTTTACCTCCTCCCCTGTGCGGTCTGCATGAGACCCAGACCCAGCTTCATGAACTGTGTTGTACAGAATAAAACAATTTTGTGAGTTTTGATGTGATTTGGCTGCAGCTGAAAATTTCACAATAATCTTCGGTGCCTCGGCAGCTTCATGCTTCCAAGGACACCCAGACACTGATGGGGAGAGGTGTCAGAGATGTACACTTTGAAGTACTGCCAGGCTGCTTCTGTCCCTTCATGGCTCCAGATTTAGCTGTCTACATTCTGGGATTTAAATTATCATTAAAAAAATAAAAAATAAAAGAGCATATGGTCCCCAGGCAATTTTTTTTTCAAGCAGAACCTCTCTTTGTGAATACCAATATAAGGAAATGCAGATCATATTTTATTATTATTATGTATTCTTTACAGAATCTAAAAATTCATGGTATTCGGGAGGCCCCTAGGGTGGCCGGTGCTGGAGCTTCTGCCCCATGCGCTAAGGGATGGGGATGGTTTGCTCTGGGGAAGAGGTGGCTTCAGGGAGCAGCTGCCTGTGGCCCCCAGTGCCCACAGGAAGGTGACAAGGGGACAGGGCCAGGCTCTTCACAGCAGTACAAGGTGTGTGTGTGGGGGGGGCAAGAGGCAAAGTTGAAACACAGGAGGTTCAGGCTGGAAAAAAGCTGTTTTCCTGCTTTTCCATCACTGTCTACCTGCTTGAATACATTGCCCACGTCAGTCCCTCAACCCATGCTGATCCTTTGCTTAAAATGGAGGACCAAGCATATATATTCCTTTTTGTTTGTTTGTTTGTTTTTGTTTTTTTCTTCCCTTAAAATGTCAGTTACAGAAGGAAGTGAGTTAGGTAATGCACTTACCTAATGTCACTTAAGATCACATAAGGATGAGTTTTGTAAGGTCCTCGAGTCAATGCTGCAGAGGTATTCTGGTGCTTGAGGAAGCTCAGGAAGGAAGCCAGTTCTTATTGGGAGAGATGCTTTTGAAAACACTGAGCTAAGGGAGGGCAGCTGTGTTACTCAGGGAGGAAAACTGGCCAAGAAAAACTTGTCTTCTGGAGGCAGTGCCACCAGGGTCACCCAGGCTGCCTTGGTACAGAGCTAACATGTACAGAGGGCATTAACAGCCCAGCACAGGACTGAAAGCTGCCTGAGAGAAGGAGAGAAAAGCAACTTACTTTGTCTCAGTGGAAAATCCATGTAGAAAACATCGAAGTTGGCAAATTTCTCAGATCTCGCTATTTCTTTCAGGACATCGGAAAGTTGTAAGGCTCTCTGCAAAAATCAAGCAATTTGATGTCAATTCATTGCTACTCATGCTGCTTTGAGTGGGCTTTGTTTTTGTCTCTGATGTGCAGGCAGGAATTTGAAAGCTAATATACCCCTGTAACTGGGGGAAAGGAGAATCAGAGTTCTATATCATGACACAGACATGCACCAGATATCCTCTGCCTTTGGGCTACCCAGCTTGCGATGCAATGTGACATTGCAGATTTGTACCAAGACCTCATCTGAGATAACACAATGAACACAGCATCCAGTTATTTCACCATGCACACCACCTAGCAGCAGCTCTAGTCCTGTATACTCATTCAGGCTCTCTCATTTTCAGAGGCCTCTTGACAAGTGGCAGCCCCATCATTTCCAATCCTCTTAAAGAAAACAGAAACTTTCTGCAGAGGATAAATGTTCCTCCTTTCCCACTATCCTTCCTGCTGCTGCGTTGTGGGTACTGGCACTCAGCTAGCCAGACCACATTCTGCTCTTACTTTCAGTGGAGTAAATTAGCTCCATCAGCCACAGATGTAACTGATATATCCAGTGTAATTTCTACAGCCTAACAGAGATCAGGATCTCCTAAATATTTATCAAGCGCAGTTTGGATGATAACATAGACAATTATTTTCAGACAGGAAGCCAGGAGGAAGATTAATTCATGCCCTGCAGACGCAGAAATTGTACATGGACAGCAGTTACATGTGCTGTATGTCCTGTGGCGTAGGTAACATATAAGCCGCAGTCCTGTAAAGATTCGGGAATCTTCTTAATAAGTCAAGAGGGATGGGGCATAAAATGACACTTGTATGTAAACCTTGGTGAAATTAAGGCCATATTTTCTGTTTACTGAATGCATACATTAGTATGACAATGCACAGAGATGGCACCTTTGACTATGTCTGCTTACTGGTTCTTTTACATGGCTGCATGGAATAAGTGCCTGCTATGGAAAAATCAGGGAATAAGTGCCTGCTATGATGTGCCACCAGGTTTTTAGTGTCAGCTTTAAAGGACACCTGTGTCTGGCTGCTCCCACTCCTGCCTGCAGCCTGGGTGCTCCTTGGCTGTGCCACCTGGTCATTAAGGCCACAGTGATGTGCCTGAGGGAGATCAGCACAAAGCCCTGACAGCGACGGGGCCAGGATCTTGATCTCAGGGGCTGCTCCAGCTGCCAGCAAAATCTGTGCCATCGGCACTCCGTGCTAGCAACTACCTTCTCCATAAGCAGTTTCTTCCTTACCAGGCACATTTTCTCCTCAAAGAGCAGGACCCTGAATGTTTTTCGTCTGAGGGAGATCACATCCCCCAGGAATGAATTTGGACAGCTGAGGGATCACCACAGGAGCTCATTTACAAAGCCTGCAGCTTAACTGTGCTGCTCTGAGGGCCTGAGAGGTGTTTCAAAGGGTGGGCATGGAAGTTTCCACAGCTTTGGAAGAAAAAAAAAAAAAAAGAACTGATGTCTTTCATTTGGGCTATCAGGCTTAGGCCAAGAAGCTATTAATCATATAAAAGACAAAAGCAAAAACTATATCACTACATAGATTCAATTTAAACTTTCTCTTGACGTGGAATTGTTGCATGTTTCTTTTGTCATCTTCCATCTAAACTATCCCTTTTGTTGCCTTACATCTAGACCATGAGTTTTCATCTGTTCTGGTGATTGTGAAAGGATTTTGGGGGGTCCTGTGCTCCTCAGTGAAGACACTTTGATGTACAGCACAAGACACCTTGTATTTAGGAAGAATTTCTACATGGTCAGGCATTGGAAGGGCCTGCCCTGCCAAGTGGTGAGGTCTCCATCCCTGAAGGTAGTTAAGAGTTGTGTGGGTACAGCACGAGGGCATGGCTGAGTGAAGGGACTCGGCAGGTCAGGTTTGTGGTTGGACTTGACGATCTTGAAGGTCTTTTCCAACCTAGATGATCCTATCATTCTATAAAATGTACAGGGGCAAGAGGGTGGACTTATGTGACCACCGCAGAGTTGGTATTCCTCCTTACCTCTGAGGTCAGGTTCCTGAGTGTCTTGTTGGGAGTCAGCCAGCCATTGCAGGGGCTCACCTAGGTGGGCAGAGGAGACAGCACATTATCAGTGGGCAGGTGGGGAGCAGAGGAGACCAGAGGGATGCTCCTAAGGCAGCCCTTACCTTGAGGCAGTTGAGGAAAGAGTAAAGCTGGCTGTAGGTGATGTCTCTGTTCAGCTGCCCTGCAAAACACAGAGAGGGAAGCTCTGCATGGCCAATGGCCAAAGGCACCACCATCACTTTTCTTAGTGGTCCCTCCCCATGCATCAGAGCCCCAGGTGAGGAGAGGCACCCTGGGAGCCCCACCACGACCATGCATGTGGGTCTGGGAGGTGCTGGTATGCCATCCCTTTGCACATCTCTCACTCTCTAAACAAAACACAGGCATTGCACAGCCAAAAGAAAGGCTGAAGGTGAGTGTGTGTACCTTGAGCTCTGCATCTGTCTCAGAGAGGACAGCCTTACAAGGGAGAAACTATTTTGCTGTCACTGAGGGATGTGGATGCATTTCTGTGGGTGAGCAAACTCAAGCACCAAGTTAAACACCCAGCTGACATTCCCTGAAATTCATTGCTGCACAGTAACCTTGCTTGCTAAGAAAAATACCCATTTTATCAATCCTTTTGCTTCTTTGGTGACTACAGCCAGGATGGAGATTAAATGGACACTCAGTTAGTTCTCTGAGTTCGTGGCACACTGAGCATCCCATCAAACTTCTTTATTTTTGCAGTGCTGAAATGTGTAGTTTTTGTCATTGCTGTTTCAGGAACTGCAGAGTATGACATCACCCAAATTAAAAAGGCTCCTCAGGCTGCTTTGTAGGATCTCCACAGTACAGGTGCAACTCCTCCCTATCTTACCCTGCAGCAGTATCCATTCCTCACAGAAATGATTAGGGACCTCAAAGATCAAGGGTTGGTGGGAATGTCCCAAAACCACATGGCCCCAAAGGGTCAGGCTCTGAGATGGGCTGTGGGGAGGAGTGGGGAGCAAAGGGCTGCAGCAGCTGATGGGTTTGGCTGACGTGAGCCCAGGTGGGTATTTTGGCTGAAACCCAGAGCAATGTCTTGTGGTGCTTGACTGGCTGCCTAGCAGGGAAACCTCCTCACAACCCATCAGAGGATCTGCCAGAAGTGATATCTTGCTGCAGAATGCTGCTTAGGATTAATTGGTTCCCTCCAAGGCGAATGAAGCCCTCTGAAAAATTGCCAACCGGTCCTATAGCTAACCGCTCCCGGTTTGGCTTGTGCCAAAAATGCTACGTGTTATCTCTGATAATTAGATATCCAGTAGAGGAACTGTCCCTGTGATAAACATGCACTCAAGCAAAGAAGTGTATTTATGTGACTGAAAAATAATTATCACAGGTTCACTCTGTGCCAGAAGGGATGGGAGCTTTCTTTTTTTTTTTTTTTATTTTCTGTTTTCACTTGATAATAATATAGTGCTTATTAGAGAAAATGTGATGATGAATCAAGAAAACAACAGCAATGGATACCTCAGACTTCCTAAGAGGCATGTACTTTAGAGGGATAAAATAACATGTAGAAGAATATTAAGAAGAATCTATGGGGCCATTGGCAATGATTAACGTTGGGAAACCAGTCACAGTGCTTCTTCAAAGCTCTAATACCCTGTGGTTGCCAAACCCATCTGGAGATGTAATCTACCATTTTAATGATGTACATTAGCTTTTCTTTCTCTCTCCATTTACTGATGAGGACTAATATGGCAACAACTTCCCACTTACTCAGATGCACTGGATATTCATTTACCCAGAGACAAAAGGAACATGCTTTTGGTCTAAAACTTGACAGGAGAATGGCCTCGCTGTTTCTTTATGCCTACACTTAAATGGAGAAGGTTGAACATACTCGCTTGTATAAAAGCAGTTTTTGGTAGCAGGATGAAATATTTCACATTCTTTCCTTATTGACTTTGGGGTGGTAGGAATTTGTAGAGAAGGGGTTCTGGAACACCCCCAAACCTGCCACTCCATAAACATCCCAGTTCTCCATGGATATGTGCCCACACTGACCCCAGAGGCACAGACACCAGCCTAACCACAATGCAGGATGTGTTAATGCAACTCCACCAAGATGATGTTCCTCTTTGCTGTTTGACATAGCATGAGCAAGTGGCCAGTCAATGGTCAGACATGCAGCTTCTCTGCATGTGCCCTCAGTGTGCTCTGAGGAGACAGGCTCCCAAAGTTAGCCTCCAAATCCCTGCAAACACTGCCTCAAGGAACCTTATGGCAACTGCCCTCTGAGAGAAAGACCCAAGATGCGTCTATACATGGTGTGACGTTTCAGTTGTCACACCTGTGTGCAGCGTAGGAGATGCCAGACACCCAGAGCTTGTGGCAAATGTATTCCTTTAGCATCTACTCAGTCTTTTGCAACTCCCTGGATTAATTCTGTCCCAGTCCACACCCAGCATTATCAAGACACCCATCAGTCAGTGAGTGGAGCTGTTCACCAGATGTCAAGCTCCACCTGTAACAAGACCCAGGATGAAGCATGCTCAGGCTGGCCACAATTTGGGTCCAAGGCTGAAGCAGAACATCTTGTCTTGCGCATCCACAGCATGTGTTGAGCCTGGTTTGGAGCTGATTGGGTCTGGCTGGTGGGGGGCAGGGGGCATGGGCACCATAGGGATCTGACCTCTAGGTGCTCTATTCTGCACTGGGGGTGACTCTCTTACTTCTACTGCACAGCCAATATCAGCGCATATTTTCCAGATCTCCTCTACTCTGTCAGGTTTGCTTGAAATATGTCAACAGATCCATAAATTATTCAGGGAGAGAAGGAAACACGAGCAGGCAGATAGCTGAGAGAACTCTGCAACATCTCATATTTACCTAGAGGATGGTATCTGTCATGCAGATTATCCCAGAGGAAGCGTCCATCCACCAAGCCTGTTAAAATCACGTGGCTGCCGTTCGGAAGCCGTGAGTCCAGGTAACGCAGAGCTTGCATGACATTGGAGAGCATTTCTTTGGGGGTCGTCATGTGAGCCAGGGTGTCATGGTTCCTGCAGAAGGAGAGGACACAAACAGGACATTGTGTCAGGTAACACAGTGCCACCAAACAGGCACCTGAAATTAAAGTGTTTTCTTGTCTTCTGTTCTTACATGTTAGGTTAGCTAAATGAAACCTTATAGAAGTGATGCTGATGTGCTTTAATCCCTTGTTCTTATTGCCAAAACAAAAAGTGATGCAGAAATCTCCCTCAGTGTAACAAACAAAAGCCTTCTCCCTGTTAAAAACACAGGCAGACATGCAACCCTTCATGCAACCCATTTTTGTGGAGTGACCTCCATGTAGGAGAAAAGCCTTAGCTCTCTTCCTAGTTTCATGGTAGAGTAATCCCATTGTTTGGAATGAGTTAGTCTTTATTTACACTGCCAAGGGCGAATCGGAGCTATAAAGCAGACTATGACTATATTGGTTTCTCATGGTGCTGAGATCCATGTAGAACCACTAGGGAGCCTCACTCTTTGCAGCCATTGCAGACCATCTCAAGCCACTTGCTACAAATCCAGAAAATTGCCAGTTTCTAGTCATTAAAAGCCCATGCTCTTTTTGCTGACTGCAAAGATACCGACCATGGCATACTTGTCAAACTCCAGTGTGGGACTGGTCTGATGTCTATGCCAAGTTTCAGCAGGAAAAGGAATCCCCAGACTACTGCACCTGGTGGTTTTATTTTAGCCTCTGTGATTCAACCACGGGGAACCAGTGCTGTTCTGCACACATGGCTTCAGGGTGAGGGGTGCCCCAGAACAGATGCAAGGATGGCTTCCCCCACTACTTGCTGTGTGTACCTCACATTCAGCATCCTGTTCAATTATGCCAGGTAGGAATATCTAAGGTAGCTTTGCCTCCCACATCTTGTACACCTCCTACCACCATGCTGCAAGAGAGCAGTGAGGGGTCCAAATGAATGTAGGAGACTGGAGGGAGAAGGAGGAGGTATTGAAGCTAAAATAGTCCTCAGAAATGCCCACTAGGATGCAGGAGCTGTGAGAGTGTCCCACACAGACTAAATGCCCATATTTTATAGCTTGCCAGTGGGCCTGAACCTCACCAAGCCAGACTCTCACACTCCAGTTTGTCCTTCCCTTGCACGTAGCTGTAAATGCTAAAGGACAATAAAATCTTGAAGTTGAAATAAATTTCAGCTTGTGTAAGAAAAGCAAACAAACTCCCCCAGGCTACCTAGAGAACCCTGCTCTAGTTATATTATTGAAACAACCACTTTATTATATAAAGGGCACATGTGTACTCTCCCCTTAGAGCTATTGCCATGCATCTGCAAAGGGTGATGAAGAAGAGGGTGAAGGCATTCCCAGTGAGGTAAACCTGTCCTAGCAGGAGCCAAGGGCTGGGGAAATGAGGCTGGTCCTGCTGTGGTGGTGAGACTCAGCTTGACCAAGGTTTTCAGAGACAAAGGGCTTTATCTGGAAGGCTTCATCCTAAGAGCATGCTCAAGCCTTCCACATGGTACAGGAGGATGGAGACCTTTCCCTGGAGAAGTCCTTTGAGCTCCATGCCCCCAACCTATGGCTTTCCCATGGGTAAGAGAAAGGCAAACTCCGTGTGGGGATGACTGAGATGTTGGGAAATCAAGCGGAATTGCTTGTTGGTGAATGCCCTCCAAAAGCAGGAGCCTTCACAAGCTTTGCTGTTTTGTCTTGAGGACTAGACATCTAGAAATGGTTGTGCTCTGGGGTAACTGAGTTCCCTGTGGGAGAACTGCATTCCTCTAATTAGGATTTGGGGTTCTTTAGCTGCTGCATTTTGCATGCAATATAATAATTAGACATGTTCCCTGGGCCTAGAAACTTATCTTGATGCAGAATGTGCTTCTGCAGCATTTGAGAATTTCTGGTCAGGGAGAACTGAAAAACAGCATTAAGATTCAAGCTCATGCTTGTGACAGCCACCCGAGCAAGGTACTTTTGAGATAAGACTGTGGTTTTGCCCTTAAATTACTTCATTTTTGCCTACAGGTGTTGTGGCACTCAATTTCAAAATACTGCTCTGATGTAAGGCAGCTACGGCAAGCAAACACATCAGCGGGAGATGAAATTAATATGACATTCATAGCTCCACAACCTCTTGTCATCCTCTACTGAAGTTACACAGGTGTTCCCATGCATTTCTTCACATTTCCTCTCTGTGCCAGGCTTTGAAATTAAAACCAGCCAAGAAGCAAGCTATCTTGTAGGCACATGCATTTTGGCTTGTGCAATAAGGGAGGCAGCACCAGGGATGGCTTCTGCACACCTGGGACCTCTGTAAGCTGATGTTTGCCACCACTCTTTGCGTCAGCACATAAGCAAACAGCCATCAATGGTAGGGTACTTGGCTGCACAGAGACCTTCTCCAGCACCTGGCACCACCACATCCTGCAGGGCAGGTCTGGTCTCACACCACCAATCCAAATAAATCCTCCCCAGACCATCTTTCATCCTCAGTGCTGCTTTCTAATCACATCTGTAACACTCCCAGTGTTTGGGCCACTGGCATATGGGGCCACCAGGTGCACGTGTGGTTTTCATTGAGAGCTCACGTGCCCATATGCATGCATGCACATATGCACATACATACACATACACAACTGCAAAGCTGGGAAAGAGAGGCTGGAGACGCAGTGCCTTACCCCAAATGCAACTAACACACAGTAACTGCACAGCATCTGGGGCTGCTGGCGTTATTTTCTTGTTGCTTTTTTTTGTTGTTGTTCCAGGTCCATGTGTCCCACATGGTGTCCCACATTTACACCTCAGTGGGCTGAGAGATACCGTTGCCATCTGTCTTTATTTTTCTAACCCCTCTGTTTGGACTCCACAGTGTGGAGACTACTGGGAACATACAATGCATGCTGCCAATTTCACTATCTTTTTCCTCTACGAGCATCCATGTAACACATCACCCCGCTCTTCACATGGGATGAAATACTGGCATTTTATCAATTCTTTGGCTAAAAGCTGTGCTCAGCACATTGCTCTCTGAAGGCAAAATACAGGATATGACCAGAAGGGCTCTATTACTGCCCTTTAAAGCTGTCCTTGAAAAGGTTTTTATTTGTCTAGCTTTAGGTTTAAAGTCAGGTGCATCAGATGCTCCACATCCTCTGCAACCTCTGTGGTTATTATCAGAGCCAGACAATGACTGGATCCTCAAAAATCCCTCTCTGCTACCCACCCCACTCAATGAAAACAGTGTGTTTCTATAGGAGCTGCAGCACCTTTCCTTGCTGGAGTCACAGGGATCACCACAGCCACAGCTTCTTTTGATGATATGGGGGTTGTGGAGAAAAACAGACAGCAAAGAGAACTGGAGCAGACAAGAGTGTCTCTGCCAGGCAATAGGCACTGGGATAAAACAACAAGCGGCATTTTGAGTAATACTGTTTTGAAACACAGGAATGGATGCTGCAAGGCCAAAATGGTTTAAATTTTGTGGAGAGATTCTCTTTTTCTTTAGGCAAGAATAGAAAGCCGGATTAGACGCAGGGGAAGCGAAAGGATTAACCTGCAGCATGACGAGTTAATCAGAGGCAAGAGCAGTGACTTTAGCAAAACAGCAGAGTCAAAATACATGCTCAACAGAGCCTGGCCCACTCCTGTAAGAAGACACTTCTGAAGTCTTTTATATTTGGCAGGGTTCATCACCTTGGAGGTGGTTGTAGCAATACTCCAGAAGCTTCTGGATAACCAGATGCCCAGGACAGGCATGCTAGCAGGCAGCAGGAGGCCTGGAGGGATGGCTGTGACTGCTTTTCCCACTTGGCTCAACGATAAACTTGCTGATAAGCAAAGTTTTAGGCCACTGAAAATGTTTTTTTTTTTAGAGGCAAAGCCTGAGAGCCTTAATAATAGCTCCAACTTAATTACACAACTTGCAGGTGAGACTTTAAAAGCTCTGAAAGGAGACTTAGCTGCATTGGCATCATTTAATAAAATGTTTTGAGTGTTTTGAAAGTGTCCATGTTAATCAGATTTATTAATTTGTCTGTCCAGGTTTTGGCTGGGATAGAGTTAATTGTCTTCCCAGTAGCTGCTATGGTGCTATGTTCTGGATTTAGGATAAGAACTACAACACATCCATCTTTTAGCTGCTGCAGAGACAAGCGCTTGTACAGAGACAAGGCTTTCAGCTCCTGGTGCTACCGTGCCAGTGAGAAGACTGGGGGTGCGCCAGGAGCTGGGAGGGGATGCAGCTGGGACAGCTGGCACACACTGACCCCTGGGATGTCCCATAGATGACCCTAGGGGCTCATGCTCAGCAATAAAACTAGGGTGGCTGTCCCTCTGAGAATGGCTGGGCATTGGTCAGCAGGTGGTGAGCAATTGCATTGTGCATCACTTGTTTTAATATGTATATATTTATTTATTTTTCTTTATATTTTTTTCTTCCTTATCAAATGGTCCTTATCTCATCCCAGGAATTCTTGCACTTTTCAGTTTTCTCCCCCATCCCACTTTATGGTGTTGGAGCGAGCAAACGACTGTGTGGTGTTTCGCTGTCTGCCAGGTTAAACCACATCACTGGCTAAAAAGGCAATCTGAAGCTGCATCAAGGTGAAAATAATGTTAGGCCGACAAAGTGTCCATTTGGACCACTTGCAAAACCAAAGCTGGAGTGTGGATGCAGTGTGCATTGGCCTGGTTGAAAGGTGGCTTGTGTGTGAACTTCCTGGGCTGTGGATTTCTCACTATGGGAGGAAGAGAAGCATCAAAATGGTGACCTCTGTGTGCCCCTGAGAGAGTTGTTAATAGGTAGTGCCAGAACTGTTAGCTTGGAAAGCTTCAGTTCATTCTCCTGCTGAGCTTGTGATAGAAGTAAAGCCAGAAAGACAAAAAACTTTATGAGAGCACAATGAAGGCTGCAGGCAGCGTGCTCAGAGGCAGGGTGAAATTAAACCTCAACAGAGGACCACACTGTGGTTCTTCACAAAAGGTAGGCCTGTAACGCTACCTTGTCTGATGGGAGATGGTACACTGAATAAAATGGATATACATGCTCATAATGCTCTATTTTTTTCCTCCTGTTGCTTTCATTTCATCTACTTTGCAAGAAATATTAAGCTTAAAACATGCCTTTGGTCATTTTATCACTGTGAAAGAAAGACGGACAAGCTCTGAATAAGGACAGGTAGGTGGCAACAACAGATACAGGTAAGGATATAACCAGTATTTTTAGCAGAAAAATAAGAATGAAGCAAAGATCAGCAGCAAAGAAAAGTGCCATTAAGGGTAGGCTCTGAGCAATGAGACAGAAATGTCCAAAGAGCCAGTAGTACTCTAAAGAAGCCAATGACCATATAAATGACCATATAAATGTTAGTACTGATTAGACCTTACCCGTTGCAGACGTCATTCCCAATTGTAGCATAGATAACTATGGCTGGATTGTCCAATAGCTGGTTTCTGGCCAAGCTGAAAGATAAATCAGCAGCATATTAACGGGCAAATATATTCTCAATGTCTGAATCACACACCATGTGCATTGGAAGTAGCTTGTTCAATTTTGGCCAATGCTCAGATGACTATGCTTCTAGGCTATTTTTTTTTCCTATAATTTTGTATTTTAATCCATATTCTTACATATTATTTTTTCCCTTGTCCCTCTTACCCCCTCATGGACTTGTCTTTTTCACTGTTTTTCTTGCTGGATTTCTAGCTTTGCAGTATTCAGAAGCCAAATCAAGCAGCTCCATTTCAGGGCAAAGCTATAAATCAAGTTGGGAGGTTTTTAGTTAGAGTTGGGAGAAGAAGACTATGTGGGGCTGACAACTAAGTTTATGTGTAGGATTGGGCTCAAGATCAAATCAGGATGTGGCTTGCAGTTCAGAAATGAAGGATTCATTAATACTTTCTCTGCAGTAGAGAACTATAAATCTCAGGATGTGAACTACATCAGCATGGAGAAGACTAAGTTAAATGCAACCATCCCACGGCTGACCCAAATTATTCTGAAAAGCAGAGCTGCTGCCTCTCCCTATCTGGTAGCTACTCAATCATACCCATATGGAGACAACACAGCAGGCCTGCCCGTGTCTATCCACATTGCTGGGGAGTCAGGGAGACCCCCCCAAAAAAAAACAAATTTAAAGAAAGACTTAGCCTCTTCCCTAAAATCACTGGAAATACTACATTGTCTTAGAGTCAAGGCCCTGGGGATGGTGAGACCCACATCCAAAAACAGTTTTTCTTCTGTTAATGAATGTTGATACCAGAGAAGAGACCAACAGTACTTAGGGCAGAGTGGCCAAGTGAAGCTCTGCTTCTTGAGACAATTCTGGATAACACATTCATTACAGGGCTCTGCTTCTTCCATTTGAGGGTGTAGGACCCCAGACACAGTTCTGTACCTGCAGTCAGTCTTCAAATCCCATCAAACACTCACCTTTTCATTAAATTGAGGAGATTTCTTGAAGAACCACCTGATCACATGCAGTGGGAATAAGAGGAATAGTACAACACTGTTACAGTGGCAAACAAAATGAAAAGCAAAACCCAATTTCATTGCACATTTCTAAGAATGTAGGAGTATTTTATTTTATTTTATTTTATTTTATTTTATTAAATAAAAATTGAGCAACAGGTAATCTCTAACTTTTTTGGGTGCCAGCATTAGGAAGTGAAGCCAAATCCAGTGACCTGCTGCCTCTCACATGAGTTCCACGTATCAGACTGTAGAAAATCAAATACTTTTACGTGCTGAGTTGTTTGGATCTGGCTTTTAATCCAGATCTGGCAGCTTCTTCCCATCTGTTGAACACAGTAGTCTCTTGTAAACCAGCCAACCTGACTTGTCAACAGTCAATCTACTTTTAACTTTCCCTATAAATTGCAAAAGGAACTTTTCTCACTCCTCTAAGAGAGTAAGTGTCTCACAACTATGTCACGTTGGGAGTGATTCAAGCCCTAAACATAGGCACCAAGTGCCATTTTTGACATCTCAGAGTATCCAGGACACCTGCAGGAGGGATGACAGATACAACACAGGATGCGTTAGAGATTGTGCACTTCTGGAGAGACAGCTGGAGGTGGGAAAGATACTGTAAAGCATCTTAAATGGCACTATACACCAACATTGGGGTGTCTGTATTGCTCTTGCCACCAGTGGCAGACTTACAAAAAATAGTATTTGGCCAGCTGCAGCCCTCCGGATTATTTACATTTAAATAGAAATTCACCCAAATGGTTGGATGCAAATCTCTCCTCCTCCAGGAAAAGAACTAGCTAAACCTAAGCATCTGTGAATATCGATCGTGTTTCATTTATGTCTTGAATCAGAAAAGCATTTCTTAATCAGGAAAGCTTTTATGCGTAAAATTTACTAGTGGGACTTTGAAGGCTGTGCATAAACATCCCAGCAATACACAGCATGCAAATCAAACTCCATCACCTGCAGTGCAGGAGTGACAGCAAAGAAGCAGACAGAAAAGAAATAATGCTTTGTTCAAGATTAGACCAAGACTATGACTGCAAGCAGCTCACCCCACAGCAGCATACAGAAACACAAACTTCAGGCGCAGGCCTTACGCTCTGTACTTGTTTCTATTTTGCAGTATCTTCATTCTCTATCCTCTTTTCTCACTCATTCTCTTCTTGTTTTACACCCCTGTTCTCTGCTCAGCTCCACTCTGGTCTCTCTCCTCCTCTTTTCTGCATTGTGCCTTGAAGCTTGCTTTGAGGAGCAAATCCTGTCCCCCCGCAGCTCTTATGGGGAACGTTGTGGGCAGAACATCATTAAATCTCCGCCAGATTGGTGTCGGGAAAAGATCTAAGAGATAAACCCCTGAGGTAGCAATAATACACTTTGCATTTTAATAGTGGTGCCTTTGTTACTATCGCTGACAGTGATGCCAACTGCATATATCAAGGAATCCTTTATGTTTTAAATAATCCAGATCTTCCAAGCTAAAAATGAACGTATCTCTCTGTTGCCTCTCTCTTGAGGGCTGCTACTCCATACAAAATCCAGTCCTCCTGTTGAGAAACTCTTTTCAGCTGAATAAGAGCCCCACACAGTCCTTAGAAAATATGGCTTGGAACAGAACCACTGCTAGCTGATTTTTTTTTCCGTTTAATATCCTTTTTTCAGATCAAATTCAGCATCCCTTTGTTAAGCCACTCTGCTGCATGACTCCCTGGACTGAGGCTGCAGTGCTAGCACAAATAAATTAATCAGGATCTCTGGAAATTAGATGCATTTACAAAAGGTAAGAGGCTCTTCTTGGGTAGGTATTACCTCCACAAGCGTAGGTAGTTATGAGCATCTCAGTGGAAAGCATTGGCACAGCTATAAAGCAAGTCAAAGGATAAAGAAAATGAAGAGCTTTCTTAGAGAAGTGTTTTAATGGGTAAATTGAGTCATCAAGGAAGTGCTTATGATCCAGGATGTAATTTCTGATGAACAAATTCAAGAGAGAAAGAAGAGACCATGCAGAGTAAGTATTTGAAGTTCAGCTACCTTTGCACTGTGGAATGTCCCCCACCTCCTCCTGGACCTCTCCTGCCCCCCTCTCTGTTGCTTTTCAAACTTCTTCGGACCAGTGGCTTTTATTAGTTTTGGTGAGGAATCAGGGATGGTTTTACTTCCTCTTGTGAATAAACCCAAATTTCATGAGCCTTGAAATATTTCTGAGGTGTGCAGAGCTGCTGACAAGGAGCAGTGCTGGCCTGCACAGATGTGACTGGGTCCAGATAGCACCAAAACTGCTGCGTGGGTGCGAAGGGCTCCTTGCTTACTAATCTTTAGATCCTACCTGCCGTGAAAGCAATTGGAAATGCAAAGATACAAAGAAAAAAGTCTCCAGTTTTCCCCAGATGAACTCTGGTCTGACTAGAATTTCCAAAATTCTAAAATTTTGGAAAATTCTAAAATTCCAAAACAGCAGAAATTATATATTATATGTTATATATGATATATATATGTATATATCATATATATTTATATTATTTCTTAATTGGTTTTGAAGCCACAATGAGCTATCTGGTTCTTGATTGCTCAATGAGCTATGGCATGTATTAACAAGGTTTAATTTTTTCTGGTCAAGGACAAGAATCCCAAAGAGACAGATCAGCCTATGAGTGGCAAAGAAGTATACAATATACCCACATTCTGAAATAATGTATGGTATCCATATATCTCAAGAAAACCATAGACGATAATTATAAAATTGTTCTGTAATTATTTAGAAATTCATAAGGTATTCACTTTCTCCATATTTACTTCTTCTTCTTCTTCTTCTTCTTCTTCTTCTTCTTCTTCTTCTTCTTCTTCTTCTTCTTCTTCTTCTTCTTCTTCTTCTTCTTCTTCTTCTTCTTCTTCTTCTTCTTCTTATTTTAATATTCTAGCAACTGATTTTACTGTCAGGATGCTTCTTGATAGAAGCAAGGGGTTTTCAGCAGGTGATGGAGGACATTCAGAAGAACTTTTAAATCCCACACCTGATCATTCATATCCGTCCCTCACACCTTGGGATCTCTCTCAGTCAGCCAAAAACCAGAAATAACACATGGTCTGCAAGCCTGTGTGAAGATGCCAGGAGGCAAGACAATTAAACCATGCTGAAAACAATGAACAAGTAAATTCAAATGTTGATGGAGAATGTTGATTAGGAATGTGAGCTGCTTGCTGTGCATCCACAGCCCCCCTGCTGGCCCCCAGCTCCAGCACCTCTCCCTTTGCATCTCTTTGAGGAAGAAGTATTTTTGGAGGAAAATCCAGCTCTCCCATCTGTGGCTATGTCAGGCTGGTGGTCAGCTTTTAGCTTCACTGACACCGACAGTGCCCGTTTAAATCCTCCCATTCTGGGAAACAAGGCAAGAAATTTGAACCTTTACAGCACTGTGTCAATGTGATGATTAAGATAAGATACTGAGGGAAGATACGCTGGGATTTTTCTATCACTTGTAATTTTCTTCAGACTCTTTTGCCGTGACACAGACTCACCTCCTTTTATATCCTGCAGATGTCTGCAGTGAAAGTGTGAGAGAGAGGCATGTAAAAAGGAATGGTGCATACAATAAGACCCCTCTCCCCCACGCCCCCAATTTTTTGTTTTGTTTTGTTTTAAGTGTAAGGGGGAATTGGGAAGAAGGGAAAGCACATCTCCTATTAAATTAAAGAGAACAGAACAGGGTGATAGGGTATCAGGCACTGAGGTTAACTGCCTATAGATGATAAGAACTGTTGACCTCATCTTTTTCGGCCTTTTGTTATCCCCTCACCAGAAGGGATAGATACCTGAGGGACTGTGGTCACAGAAGCCACCAACCCCAGTGCCCTGTGTCTGACAGACGAGGTGAGAAGTACCCATAGCCATCCAAAATATCAAAGACATTGACATATATTAGTGCAAAAAGACAGCAAGTCAGAAATACACGTGCCTCGGGAAGGAGGAAGGTGTATGGAGGCATTGCAGTGGCCTAGGTGCTGGCACCCGAGGGGAACTCTGATAACTCTGATGAAAAAGCCCAACTGAGCCTGCAAGGGATCCTTGCACAATACTACCTGCTTGGACAACATCTTCAGCGCTGTGAGATATCTGGCTCATGGAGCTGGGGGTCAGGGCAGACCCCTTCTGATCCTAAATCTGGCAGAAAACCTAATGCCCAGCATTTAACACATTTCAATATAACACTAGAAACTAGTGCAACTGTACTCCTCACTTGTGGCCAACATGACTCATCACTGTTGAGGAAACATATCCCAGAAACTCAAACTATCTGCCTAAGGAGATTAAATTTTCCCTAACTTTTGCAGCCTGTTTTCTGAAGAATTAAAATTAAATACATGCAAACACAATGTGGTAATCACAGAATGATCAAGTATCTTTTAAACCAACTGTTGGGGACATCACTTAATCCGACACACAACAGTTAACATCATAAACCTTAATTTCAAAGGGAGATTACTCTCATCCCTTCATGCAACCACTTTGGCAGATTTAATCAAACTCTGTCTTGAAACAGCTCTGGGCTTCTTTTTACCCCTGGGCTTCTTTTTACCCCTGGGCTTCTTTTTATTTCCGGGTAGATTAGGCCTTCTGCGTATAACCTTGCCAACACAGAATGCTATTTTATAGGAAGATGTTAAGCCAGCCTCGCAAAATTAATTATTGACAAAACAGTGCTAAGGTTTGTCCTCATTTACCTTTGTGTCCTTGATTACTTCTTCAAAATCTGGTTTACGTGCACACAAAGCTGCCTGCACCACTGACTGCTGCAGTTTTGCAGAAGGATGATGGTTTTTCAACAAAGGCCTTGCAGGACATCACAGACATCCTTGCTGTGAGGCTCCAGACAGTTTCGTGCCTGCTGTGCTTGCTGGTGTGACAGTCCTGTGAGCCTCCCTGTGTTACCGTGGGGTACAGCATAGGACCCCCAGCATCCCCAATGGGGGTGCAGAGAAGGGGTGTGCAAGGAAGAAGGCACCATGCCATAGCCTCCAGAGGAGATGGGGTCAGGCCTCTTAGCTCTGTCACTACCGGCAACACCCCTCACATTCCCCATTTTGGTCACCGGGGAAAAAAATAACTAGAGTTACAGTGGGGTACACTGATCTTTAGTTCAGTGGAAGTCCTTAGTAAAAGCACAGATAAAAGCAACCAAGGAAGGATGCTGAGTTAAATAAGTGATGGTCACTACTTTTTCCACAAGGCATGCATGCAATTTGGAAAGGTTTTCTCTTTGTTTCTGGAAGACGTTCATTAAGGCCACATCAAATTGTGGGACTTATAAGATTAAAAAAAAAAAAAAAGTGAAATATGTTAACTTACCATTTTGGGAAATGTTCTGTAAGTCTCTGTGATTACAGCGATTTCTCCTGCGTAAACGTAGATATAGAGAGTCTGTCCAGCCTCTGAAATAAATTGAGAAAACGCAAGCCACTAAACTTTTATGATGTGGATGAAAACAAGTCCAATGTTTAAAAAGTTTGTTCTTGTCTCTGAACAACACTGTGCACCAGTTATGCATATACTTCCATTTTACATTTTCTCTTTTTTTTTTTTTTGAGGTCATAAAATTATTTCATTTTGAATAACACTGCCTAAAATGGAAGCCCCAACATTCTCTGAGAAACTATAAATGGTTGGAGAGTTTTGTTTGGATTGTTCATCCTGGATGCTTTCACCCTAATCTTTCAGGCTAGGTGTTTAAGAACCTTTTTCTTATACATCATTTATCAAAACAATCCTGTTGATTGCTCACTAATTGACTTTTCAATTGGCTGTTGTGGAAGAAGAAATAAAGAAGAAGAAATATTGTCAGGGCATTCATTTCCCAGTGCCATAAATCGTGGGTGGATTGATCAGAAGACAGGTTAAATTTGATTTTGATTAGTTTTCTCCATTACTTTGCACTGTCAAGAAAAATTAAAATGCAATGAAAAGGATAACAGCACACAGGGAAGCTGATGGGAAGGCCACACTCCGAGTCCCAAGTACCTGGCCATGGCTATTGGAGCTGTTGATCTTGTGTTTGAACTTAGGCACCGAAGAAATCAGATAACTGAAATGGCTCAAGAACAGCCAACTTTGGCTAATGCAGAGGAACATGACAATGATAAGTTTTGAAACCAGCAATAAAAAGTAACTACCTACATAGAAACATATGATAAGACTAACTAGTAAGCAAGCAGTAGGCTATGCAAGGAATGTGGGAGGTCTTTGTCTTTCAGCATAGCAGGCAGGGTGATGAGGAGAAGCAAACAAAACTTCTTGGTCAGAGCATACACTTCTTAGCTAATCCGTGGCATCCCTCTTCACTGACTTTTGGGGAAAGGATGGGCACAGCCTGCATCAGTCTGCATCTCTGTTTCTGCAGGCTCGGTGTAAATGGGAGCCTTCTGCAAGTTGTCCTCTCCCACAGCACATTGCCTACCGGTCTCCTCTAGACTTCATCTTTGTGCTGTGAGATTTTGAGCTGCTTCTCTTTAAAATGCAAAAAACTCCCAAGCAGTTTTCCTTTATTTTCTTCCAGGCATGGAAGAGTTTAAAAAAGAGATCAAAAAATCAGCACTGGTCCAAAGACAGCTGGCAATGCCATGGTCAGCACTAAGCTCCTGTCACTTAACAACTTCAGATCCTTTGCAGCCCAGTTAAGTACTGTCTATAGAGCAGCTGGATATTGTAATTGATCTGTAAAGGCTGATTTTGTTGCTATCTCTGAGTGAGGAGCCTGCACAGATCTTCTCCGTTTGGCTTGCCAGGTAGTATACAACTTTAAAACACACACCCTGTGAATGTAACTGCGGCTGGGAGTCCAGTTTATGCACAAGCAGAAAAGAGCAAGCAGAAAGAACAAGTGTATGGTGCAGCAGATATCTTTCCTGGAAGACAGCATGCTGTGCCAATTTTTTAGTTCTGTTGGTAAAGGGCCTCTGTAGACTTGCCTCATGCTTTGTTTGGCATTTCACTGTATTCATGACCTGTCCTAGACACATCAAATAAAAAATACCTAGAACCCAGGCCAGACCAGGCACTTTTGAGGTACTGTACCCTTTAGATCTGGCAGGAGGCATGGGCCTCTTAATACTAGCCAAAAAGATGACTGAAAAATACTTTTTTTTTTCCTTTTACTTCACAGTTCAAAATGCCAACATTTCAAGGTGTTTTCTTTATGTTTGTTTTATTTTCCTTACCTTCTGGCTGAGACTTAGACTTTTTTTCTCTCCATCTATTCCAGTAGTCTTCCCCATCCACATGAAGCAATTCAACAAGGTAAATCAAGTCACATACTTTTCCCTTATTCTTTTGCAACTTCCCTCTCAATGTGAAAAAAATAAAACAAAACAAAACAAAAGAACGGGGAAGAAAGATCACCTTTCCCCCCAAAAGGAACACCATCAAAATAACCTCAGGTTATCATTTATTCTACTGTTTCAACACCAGAAAGGAAACAGGACGAAAAGGAGAGGAAAAAAATAAAAAAAAATTAAAAAAGGCAAATGCTGATTTTGTTAGTTTCAGCAATGCTTATTTCTCCCTGCCCCAGAAGTTTGAGATATTTTTTTTTACTATTTTTTTTTCTTTCTTCTTCCTTCTAAGGACAGAGTAATGTCCATATATTTCAGATTTTTAAAATATGGCTAGATTACCTTGATTTCAGAAATCAAGCTGACTGGTGTTTTTTGTCTTTCCTTCCAAGCAGCATTAGTCTCACAATGTTTTGAGGGCCTTCAGACTTGTTACAGCTCACCCTCCCCATCCATTAGCTTACCCAATGGTAGAGTTCAGGAACCCAGTGATCTCTGAGAACTGGGGCCAGTCAAGCTCGTCAGTGAAAGCCATGGGGAGGTTAGCAAATGATTTCTGAAAGAGAAAATTTTAAATCAGCCTGGTTTCATATTCACAGCCCCAAACCAACAATTGTAACAATAGGTATAGTGGTAATTATTTATGCACGTACTTAAGAAGTTGAGTCTTGCATGACAGGCATACCTGGGGCACACAGAGGTGGCTGAATTGCATCTATTGGCACCCTTTGATTTTGGAGGGGTCCAAAACTCCCCCTCAGGTGTAGCACATGCTGCAGGTGCACACTGTCAAGACAGCAGCTCTTTGCTGCAGCACTGCCCTGCCCAAAGGTGGGTCCACCTGGACACAGGAAGAGTAGACAGCACGGTGTCCCCAGCCTCTACTGCAGATGGAGGGGAAGGCATGGATGATGCTGAATTCAGTCCAAACTCCCTTGCTCTCTCCAACATCATAAACCATGAGCATCCAGCTCTTAAAAACCTCTAATTGGTCCTTACTGCAAATGTCCTCTTTTCCTGCTTTTGCTCTTTTGCTGGTATTACTCCCTAATGCTTTTTTTTTTTTTTTTTTTTTTTTTTTTTTTTGGTATTTATTTTAAGTGACTGCCCCTGCAAAAGCCTCAATGCAGATGCAAGCTCGGCTGCACATTCGAAACACTGTGCCCAGTTCATCTCCACTTTGATTTGTGAAAGTGCCAAAACTGGTGAAAGGCGAGAAAAATGGCCTCAAGAAATTGTGTTGCTGCACAAGGACAAGAACATGGAGTAAATTTGCAGCTTCTCCTAGTCTGGACTAGGCTCACAAAGACAAATGCATAAATCCAGTGTACTCGAACTGAAAAACTGTTGATGAAAAAGGTAATAACCAAAAGAAGGTCAACACATAAAATAAGAGAAATTACAGGCTGGTTTAATCGCTGTAATTCATTAGCTTCATTTTCTTTTAAATCCATTGTAGGGTTTCCTTAAACCCGCACTGCTATCAACAGCAAGCAGGTTGGAATTCTTCCTCCAAGAGGGTCAGAGGTAACTGAGAACTAAATCCTGGTGTCCCCAAAAAGTCCTCATTCTCACAAAATTATCATTTATGTGAGCAGGAGTTTAGCTTGAGTATATGGCTACAGGCTTTGTATGTAAGAGGCTGGAGGAAGATGGTGGGAAAGGGGAGGAGAGAAAACAAGGGGGGAGAGAAGGGACGAGGGGGGATGAAATCCTAAAGCTGAGCTCTGAGAAGCCTGATGCAAGCAGATGCCAGTGTAAAGCATGTAACAGCGTATTTGACCTACTTACGGTAGATCTGCATTAGTTACCAGGGTGAAAATGGGTCTGGTTTAATATATTTCAGTTGATTCTCTCTCATATATATGTGCATGTCCTTAGCTGTATCTGTATATGCGCACACACACATACACATATATGTACACACACATACATACATATTTTAAAGACTGGAGGGAACTTCCAAACCTGCCTTCTTCAAATGTGATAGCTTTGTGTACAAACAGGCCCTTAATCGAAAGGCTAAGCAGAAATGGAGGGGTACAGCACTGCCATTTGGCCATTTGGAGTATTTGCATTATTTAAAGGCAACTGAAACATTGAAATAAGTGACTTAACATAGAGAACAAGCTGTAGATACTGTCTCTTACCAGTCACAGAATGTCAGCATGCATGTGTATACAGAGAGACCAAAAGAGATTAAATATTTTTTTTTAATCAAATCCTTCTATGACCAAGCCTCTCACTATTTCCATTAGCACTCCACGATAATGTTTTCCTTGGACAAGGCCCACAGTAATTTTCAATTTATTTTTTTTTTCTTTCTCCTGCAAACTTAGCTTAAATATGAATTAGCCAGAATCTAGCTGAGTTGCAAATGGCTTTGAAAAGAAACGTTTGAGCCCAGAATTATAGCTGCATTTGAAAACTGTATGTACGTTTGGCATTGACACTGCTCCAGCAAAGCACTTAAAGCCAGACTTTTCAAGATATTTCAGAACTGAAACGTGAAGATGAGTATTTAATGGAAATTTAACAAGAATGCTAGACCATGAACTCACTGGGTTTCAATTTGGAAAGCACAGTCTAACAGACTGCATTTTGCTTAATCTCAGATGCAAATGTGACCCACACTAGAGATTGTTCCATGCTGACTTTTAGTTCAAAACTTCTGAGCACAGCCTTGTTTAAATACCATTCTTTAGGCTATTCTGGCTGAGAAACCATGTTTCAGCCTACGTGTCATATTTCAGCAGAGAATGATTAGAAAGTTTTTCCAACCTAGCTTCAAATGCTGTATTTTAGTCTCAAATGCTCCAGACGGGTCTCACTTTGAAGGAAACTTCTCACCTCCTAGATGTGTCCCAGCTTGAAATACATCTCCCCAAACCCTCCTGCTTCTCTTGCACCAGGCAGCCAAAGCCATGGCTGATGCTAAAGGCGTGCACCAAGCTGTGCTGGACAATGTTATCTTAAATGGAAGACTGCTCAGTGCTGCCACACCAAGAGGTTTTTAAAATACAGCCTAAAAAGGACCCTGGAAATGTAACGCTCATATGAGCCTTTAGAAATGGCAGTTGCAGAAATTATGAATGTGCTGAAGTAACCCTTAAATTGAAGGAGAATTAGGTGTTTGTTTTTATAGTGTTTTTAATGATGTTCAAAATCTCTTTATAGCATTCAGTAGCTCAGATAGTATTCTACGTATAAAAATAAGCAGACCTTAGAGCTTGTGAGGAGAGAGCATCCTATCTTTTTATAAACCACGTATTGCATTTATACTTTCTCTGTAAAGTTGCAAGGGATATAAATGTGGAATTAGTAAAATTTCCTTATTTCCTCCTTATTTCCTCCAATATACAGCATCTTAGTCATCACAGTGCTAGTTGGGAGAAACTTGCCTGCAAATCACTGGATTTAGAAAAAAGCTAGAGAACGCTTTTAAAAAGATTTTCACAGATCAAATTGCTGTAATTTCTAACAGGGGGAGGGAGGGAAAAGAATTCAAAGAGATAAGTGATCAGGATATCCTGAACTCACTTTTAACTCACTTGTAAAGAAATTATGGTGGGATTTTTTATTTTTCATGGGAAATATATAGTATGAACCATTATTTAAATGAAACCTGGAAATCTTTTGAGTTTGTGGGCAAGTAGACATTTTGTGGATATAGTGGATTACAGATATATGTGGGAATTATTTTTCTCTTTATTTAGCATGAAATAGAGATCCAAGAGTGTTTAAATGCATCTTCCTAGAAAGGGTATCTCCAGCACATTTATAAATGTATTGCTTTTATCTCCAGATAAAATGATCTCTAAAATGAGATTTAAATGTAAGCTCATATCCCAGACGAACAACAGAAAAATGCTGCATTTAGTAGCTATTTGGAAGTCAATTGTAAGCAGATGGACAGAGCAGCAGGAGTGCAATATCTATTGCTAGACACACTAGTGTTATTAACATTAGCTTTCCACAAAAACCATCATCCACAGACAAAACCAACAGTATATCTTCTGCTTTGTTAAACCTCATAAAAAGCATGTCTACTGCATTAGTCTTTATTTTAAGTGTCACAATTTTCACGTCAAAGGAATGAGCATTCAGCTCAATTCTTGCTGAACTTTTCTACAGGAGAAAGGGCTGGTAAACCCAAGACCAGTTGACAAGAAGGAAGCTAAAATAAGGGTGACTCAGCCCCTTCTTACATCTGAGTAACTCCCGCCCTGTAATTGTGCAATGACTATTTGGGGATTTAATGGTGTTATGGGAGGTTGAGGACAGAGCCATGTGCTCTGCTGCTTCCACAGGAGCATGCAGGCAGGTATCCTCAGTGATGGTCCTAAGGTTATTTTCTCAGTGTTGCTGCACCTCAGCCAGATACTCATAGGGTAGATTTTGAGACCTGACAGCACCATGTTGGTCAGAAACATTGCAACTGAGGTACCTGTGACTTCTCCTAAAGCTACACAGGGTAGTTTTTTTTTGTTGTTGTTGGCTCTAACTTTCAGATCTGGAGAAATAACATGTCTATCTGAGTATAGCTTTCAAAGATGTGTCCACCTTGTAATGAATACTCTCCACGGTGAGTAGAGTCTCCATATGCTTTTGGGACGAAGAAAGTACTCTAAGGGAGATGATAACTTTATTTGTGACTGGTTCCCACCTTGACAGAGAAATCCAAAGCCCAGTATAGAACAGCTTTCCATATAACAGCTTCCCAGCAGTGGTCTATGAGAATACAGAGCAGGGATCTGAATTCCAAAACTGTTCAGCACCAAATTAGGTGCCCATCTGGTCACTCCCCTGCTGATCAGCCAGTTACCCAAATGACGTCCTGAGCCCACTTCAGTGAGAAAATTTCTCTTTCGTATTCTTATTTTTCCCTTGTTCAACTTTGCTGCTCCTTTGCATGGTAGCATAATCAGGAGAAGCACCCATTTTGCAGAGCCTCTTAACTGAATTCTCAGCTTCTCTCTCATAAAATTATTTCCCCACCTAATTAGCTCTAAAGCAAGAATTAACAGCTGCTGCTGATGTGGTGCTGATTAACAAGAGGGCCTGCAGAATTGTTAAAGTGCAAATTTTACTTTACAGTTGTATATGTAAGCACTTGTATATGTGAACAAGTGTAAGGATAAATATGAAATATAAAAAACAGATAAATATACAGAAAATAAGTAACACAATATTAAATTTCATAAATTTGAATTAAGAGGCACACAAAGCTTTCCCTGGAACATGGTAAAATTCTTGGGGGGGAAAGCCTTATTCGGTATTCCATGCAGAGGGCTGAGATGCCATTGAAATGGAAATTAAAGCTTTGAACTGACTCTAGTATTGACCGTAGAGGAAGCCATCTGATCAACTAATTTTTCAATGTGTCTTATCAAAGAAATTTTGGCAGAATCAAAGTGAAGTATCTTGATCTTGATAGCACCAGTGAACAACAGGTAGATGAGGCTAACAAATTATCCTCATAGAGCCTGAACATCAGATTATTGCTGTGGTCCCAAACTGAGGATGGTTTCTCTGCAATTAGGACATAGACACTCCATGCTCTCTCTGGTCACAAAACCAGCCCTAGATGTACTCAGAAATTCCCCTCAAGGAAGACTTAGTACTGAGAAAAAATGGGTGCCTATTGACCATGAAAGGTGCACTTTGACTAGCTTCAAATCACACTGCTAGCTCTTGGCTTTTACAGGGATGGAAAACCATGACCTGCTGCTTTAACCCTTTCATTTTTCCATTTTTCAAATGGGAGACAATGAGAGAGAGAAGAGGGAAAGAGGATGACAGGAAGGAAGGGACACTTCTCATGCAGACATTTCTCTGCAAAGTGTTTGCATGCAACAGTACTCCCCACTTTCATTCTTCCCTTGCTTTGAAGAAATATCTGGAATAATTTTTCAAATGCTCAAAAATAACTGTTTTCTTTTTTAATTTTAATTTGTTAATTAAACCTACACATGAAGGACATTTGCCAACAGGATTTAACACGAGAAAGAAATATTGCACCTACAAGACCCCAGAGCAGGGTAGGCTGCTGCTATTGCTATTCCACACACACAAAGAGTGAGACACAGAGGGCAAGCAAGAGAAGGAGGCAGCAGCAAAGTCTGAATTAGCTTAGAAATTTCTTTGTTAACAATTTTGTGCACAGGTGACAACTTTCTTAGTTAGGGTGAGCTGCAAATTAAGTAATATTTTAGAGCTCAAACACTTGTTCATTTACAGCGCTGAACTCTGTATCTCTGCATTAACTGTTGTATTTTTGCCAGGTCAGTAAGAAAGTTCGCAAACAGCTGTATTTAGCTTCTCCAGTTCCTGGAGTGATGAAGAAAACCTAGAGGGAAATGTGTCTGTCCTCACTCATTCCCCTGGTGCAGGGCTTTAGCTCTAACTTAGAATCACGGAACCATGGAATCATTTTGGTTGGAAAAGACCCATAAGATCATCGAGTCCAACCATCATGTAATGCTGCAAATCCACCACTAAACCATGTCTCTAAGCACAACATTCACACACCCTTAAATACCTCCAGGGTTGGGGACTCCATCTCCCTGGGAAGCCCCTTCCAATGGCTGACCACCATTTCTGTGAAGAAATTCTTTCTGACATCTAATCTAAACCTCCCTTGACATGACTTGAGGCACCCTTCCTGTGGGGAAAAAAAAAAACACTTCTCCTTTTCCAGATGGCCCTTGCTCTTCCCAGCAAGCCAGCCAACTGGATTTTAATACTGAGAAAAGTTTTTGGATTTTGCACAGAGAGAGCCACACAAGTTGCTCAGTGTCCATCAGACTGTAACAACAGGCACCAAAACCCACTTTGTGATCTGCTCTCCAGCTCCAGACCTCGAAGCTTCTGGCTCTTCATGCCATGACCAGCTCTCGGTCCATGCAACTAGTGGACCAGCAAGAGAAGACGAGCAAGTTTCAAGGAAGAGAAATGCCTTCTAAACCCTCAGATATGTGATAATAAAATGCTGACTAGTCTGAAATTATTGTTGCCTATGTGGGTCTACCACCAGTGTTACTGCCAGAATCATTACCATCAGTGTTATTACTGTCTTTATTAGACAAGATAATATCAATTACCATTAGTGCTAATTTATTATGCTCATCATCAGCTCTGTCATCAGTGTCATTCATCTAATTATTGCTCATAAACGTTTAACAAAGAAAAACAACTGCTAATTGGCAATATTTAAATCAGTTCAGCTCTGGGAGCAAAAGAGGGAGAATGCATGAAACTCTCAAACCTCCAAAAGCACCATCACTTCCTGAAATTTTGGAATAAGGATTGTTTTCATGAAATTTTCAAGATCACTTTTCCACAGAGGCCAATGGAGGAGTAGCAGGTGTTCCCCAGGGATAACAGGCAGAGGCAATCTGCTCATCCTTGCAACAGGGCCCTCATACAGGGAAAGACAACAGTCCTCCCTGGCCAGGGAGCCACACCAGCTCTGGGTAGTGGGGCTCGTGGGAGTGAACAGCAACAAAGGATGGGAGCATGCCAGTGAATTTATCTCTCCCCTTTCCAATTACTCTTTGCTTGAATGATCTTTTCTCCTGTTATATCATTCACATCAGTGACCTGCAACAGCTGAATCTCAGCGTAATTCACAGCCAGGCACATTTTGTTGAAATGGAAAGTGTTGGAATACTCCCCAAAGATAGAAGTCACTGTGCTGGTGATACTCTACCGTTGTTACAGAAACCATTTCCTTTAGGACAAGTCTATTGCAAACTCCTGTGTGACCCCCACACATCTGCAGACATATTTGTGCAACAAGCCTCAGAGCCTGCATGCTCGAGTTCCCCATCCTATTTCATATATGCCAATGATGAGGGAAAACAGCCCCGAACACGTATTTCAAAACCAGACGCCTCGATCCGTGGCAGAGGGGAGAAAGCAAGCAGCAGTTTTGACAAACTGTGTGCAATTTCTCACCGCTGACATCTGCGTGACGGTCATCCACTCAGGGGGGATGTGGAAATGCGCGCCAGCTGAGTCTCCCAACAGCACAACACCTCGTGAGTCTGCACCTAATAAACACACTTGATTAATGGCATGAAATGGCCCTGGCAGATATAGCACCCCTATAAGCACAATGAGGCAGAGCATGGAGAGCAGTGCTTGAAGAGCAGCTGATGGAGTCTGAGTACACCACCCTTTGTATGGCCAAAATGTTCAAGCCCTGCAATGGGATTTTCACACCACCTGCAGAAAAAAAAAAAAAAAAGAAAAAAAGAAAAAAAAAAAACACATACTAAAAGGCAACCCTAGGGCAACACCTGGGTACTGGGCATGAATACATGAATAGCAGGGAGAGAATTTGCTAATCAGAAAAAAAAAATCTTCGTTGTACTCAAGGATGTTATTTCAGCACAGGCTCTGCTGTTCAGCCAACATTTATTTTTACTACCCATAGAATATGTATGAAAGATACTTAAACATTTAGTTAAATGGGATTACTCAGGAAAGCACTCAGAGCTCTTTATAGCAGGACTTGGTGGTGGGTGCACTACTCACACAAGCATTTCTGCTGGAACAATCTGGCAGTTTGGTAATTATGTATATATTATATATATATAATCAAACTTCTTCATAAATTTGAAGATTGCCTTTCACTGAAAAAAGTTGGAAAGGCTTGCCAGGCAATGCCTTACCTTCAGGGCTTTGGTGCAAATGTCACGCAAGGTGAGCAGCCAGTGGTGGTTTAGTGAGGGTGTTCTTTGTGTGCGTGCACACTCCTACACACCCACACTGCTGTCTGGGAGATAAGGTTAGCAGAAGCACTGCTGGCACACCAGTGGGTCCACCTGGGCACACATGGACACCCAACTGCTTCCTCAGTTGGGCTCAGTCAGAGGCAATGACTCCATTTGCTGGTGTCCCTGATCTATGTATTTCAACATAATAACCACACTAGCTTTTAACAGAATATTACCAGCAGCCCGTGCTGTTCACAGGTTCTTTCTGCCCATCTTCAAGATTAAACAAGAAAAAAGGATGTGTGCTATTTTCCTTTTTCATAAAGTTGTGAAACCCATTTTCTTTCCCCTACATTGGTAATGACCATGCAAATACTAAAATATTTATGAAATGAATACAAAATACAAATTGCTTCTTGCAGTGACTGTAAAGATTCACCTTTGCAGAATTTCTCCTCATAGGGAATTCCATCCTTTGGATCCACACCCTGTTGGAGGAGAGAAAAGGCAGATGAAAGTCTCTATCAAGTGCCTGAAAAATGCTAGTACAAAACAGAGACTGAGAAGTTATGTCTTGAATGTTTGCCTGTAGGAAGCATTGCATCATAACAGCAACACTTTCCATTAACTTATTCTAATAAGTGTGTATACATTTTAATTATAATAGCTATAATTTAAATAATCATAAACATCAATAAACAATCTCTCATATCTGCTTACTCTGTTTCCTTATAGTTTAATAAATACAGTTTTATTACTTGGAATATCCAAGACAGTAAATACATGGAATAATCCAAATCAGTTGATAAGCCAGAATAATAAAAAATCCACCCATTTATGGACTAATTCAAAAGGAGGGAAAAAAAAAAAAAAAAAGAGGTAATCAGGAAAGAATTTGAAAAGGCAACTTCTTTTACTTACCCATATGCCATTGCAGTTAGAGTCACTTTTCACATCCCAATTATCAGGACTAAAACAGAGTTACAAAAGATATACAGTGTTACAGAAAATAAAGAAAAAAGAGGCTTTGAAGGAAATCAGATCATTTGTGCCATTTTCTATGAAGAATAGCAAATAATTAGAAATTCCTTTCTCCACAGAATGGTGCTTATTTTCCATTTAAGTCCAGGAGAGGTAATTTTTCTTGCAAAATGAAATATTAATTTGAAGTCAGTACAGGAGGATGTCAAATGCAACTTACCCACTCAGTTTGCATTTCCACTTTGGAGAAGTGAATGGGGACGACTTTTGCAGAAGACCTGTCCTTTTTTCCCCGCCCTTTTCCTTCTTTTTGATTTTTTTGTTGAAATTCACCAAACCCCTGACTCCAAATTCAGTGCATGAGGGCTGGAGCACAGCCTCCCTCTTGGCACTGATGACAAGCATGGTACGCACAAAACACATCAGATTTTCACCCCTCAGGCTAATACACTCCCATCCCTGGTCTCAGCCATCCCCTCTCATCTCCATCACAGTGAAATTAAGCACAAAGCAGTGGTGTCCCCTCCCGGAGTTTTGCCAAAAACAAATATGGAACTCATTCTTCACAATGCCACAAGTATTAGAAATAATTAAATTATTTAAAATATTTAAAAGCTTTACCGTCTGCCAGGGTACACGATTGTGTTTCTGTCATCGCAGTCTCTGCCTCGCCAGTGATAGCCCCGCAATGTCTAAAAGACAGGAGAAGCACGCAAATAGGATGGTCATTGTTACCCTGGCACTTTGAATTTAAGGTATCTAAAATGAAAATCTAACTCAAGGTGCAGGAATAAAGCCCACTAAATGGGTTGTATTCCAGAACCTAAGCTTTAAAAAATGACACCTTGCGCACTTTGGTGCTAAAATAAAACAAACTGGCAATTTTCTTATATATTTTTTTTTAACTTGATGTTACTTTACCTCGTTTAAATTCAATAAACAGACCACTTTGCAGCAGAGCAATTTGCTTTTGCAGGGAGCCCAGCTTTGTGTGTACATCTCCCCAAATGACATAAATGAATGATTTTTTTTCATCCAGAAAAAAAAAAAAAGAGGAAAAAACTCTTTAGATTTCACTTATTTTCACATGAATGAATAAGGCTTTGCAGAAAGTAGGAGGAATCTCATATACATTCTCATTATCAAGGGATTATTGTACCAAAGAAAAGGCTTTGCTTACTGGGAAAGTACTAAATTTATCTCCATCAAAATCTTCAAAAGGTAGTTTGTTTCTTATGACACTGCAAAAACAAAAACAACAAACACCGTGTTAACAGATGGAAGGAAACCTATTCAGGGAAAAAAAAAGAAAAAAAAAGTTCAGAATAGATGATAGCTTCCATGCTCTTCACAGCTCCACATTCAGTTTTAGTTCTGTGCTTGTACCTCAGCAAAGCGATTCTGCCCAAAGGAGCAAATCCAGATTTCTTTCAATATCTGCTGAGTGAGCACCAGAGGCGAAGCTGATAGACTCCTGTGTAGCTGCGATATTGAATCCTCAGTGTCTAGAATAAGCTGGGGCATCAAATCTGCAGTAAAAGTAACTATCACTTTTGGACATAAATACCAAACTCAGCCTGGCACATCTTGCAATCTGCTAGATATGTAGTATTAACAGAAATCTTCTACCTGGGAAAGAACTGCAGAATGGGGTTTTATGATGATGGAAGCCTTCTTCTCTGACAAATAAATGGCATACACTCATTCTGATATGTATCCTTCATCTCCTTATGCCATCTCTCTTCTGTTGTGACAGGCCTAGAAGACTTGCCATTTGCATACCAAGTTGCACAAACAAATGCTTATATTGTCAGGTAAAAAATATGCTTTAGGAGAAATAACCCAGATGATGTCCTTGCCCTTTCTTTGAACTCTGACTCTAAGCTAGCAGTGACATGAAGCTGTTCTTATTTCATATTAATTGGTATTCCTCACAGAGTTATGTAGCTGCTGCTTGCCCTCAGCTCAGTAGAGTATGGCTTCTGGAGTTGAGCTGTGGGCAGCACAACTTGGTGAATAACACAACGGAGACATTTCTATGACTCAAGAAGTCTCAGGAGAAAAACAGCTCACACTTGGAGGTGTGGTATCTTTGTGTGTATGAAGTGAGGGCTCAGCCCTACATAAGAGTATATTTGTACTCTCAGGACTGCTAACTATATGTATGCAAATATTTTAAGTATTGCAAAAGCACAGGGATTTCTCCAAGCACTCGCACCTGCCTGAACCCTCTGCAAGCCCCCTTTGTACTGCCTGGACAGTGGTCATGTGAAGAAGGAAAGAAACAGCAGTAAAGCATAGGGAGATTTGTTAAGCTGAAAATTTTCTTTTTGAAAGAAAGGAATGTACCATACTCTGTTACTGGTTGAGGACTGAAAACTCTATACGTACTATTTAATCTTCTCACATAGGTTAGCCAGAAGAGGAAAGGCACATAGATTTGAGAACCTCGTGGTGCTTTTCTGGAGGGGAGGAAGATAAAAGATGAATATATTAGTTCATAGAGGCCGCATGGCTTGGGATATTGTAACAGTCAAATTCAGAGCTACATCATGTTTTCTGCCTAACAACATCTGAAAACACCAAAAACTCCACTAAAGATGCTACATGCCAGAGGATTTGAGGATTTAGATGTGACACAGCAGTCAACTTTGGGATTTCAACTGAACATTTCACAAACCAACAACGCTTATTTTCAGAAAGCTGTAAAGCTAAATGGAAGAAGCTCTCATGAAGCTGTCTCCTGTCATGTACCAAAGTTACTTTTTTCACCTCTCATAAAAACCGCAGTTCTCATGTTGGATAAACACAACAGTGTCTGATACTTAGTGCAGAACTAGTGAACGGGAGCACACATTGAGACTAAAAGGCTGGTTTCTGCACACTTGGTGGGGAGCTTTGGATAAGCCAAAACTCAAAAGTAACCCCAAAAAGGGGAGAAATGGGAGGATCCAGTGTTTGCATAGAATGTCCTTGATTTTTCATGAGATTTTTTTACTTGGGAATCTCATAACTAGCTTTTATCTTGGCCAGCCCTGCAAGCTGTAAAAGGCAGCTGTTGCAGGATAAACTCTTTCATCATGAGTACACCATAACTGTGGGCCAATCCAGGAAGCTTCAGGAGAGAAAGAGACCTTCCTAGTTAACTCTCAGGTTACAGAACACCGTGCTGCATTGGAGATCAACCCCACAAATGTGCTGTTAATGTGGTTTCATAAGTTCAGGTGGTCTTTAAACACGAAGGGTGTTCAGGTGGCCAATAAATACAGAGGGATAGTCAGTGCACAGTCTAATTAACTGTACTCACTAAGGCTGTATTCAGCATGTAAATATGATACAGTTGAGCAGGTGGACATACTCATTACTTTATGCAAAGGAGGGTAATTATTTATATTGCCGTAGCACTTCTATCCTTGGGCCAATCCCTTGTGTTACACACTTTGCATACACAGAAGAAAAGTAAGATGGTTCTTGTGCTAATCAGATTACAACCCAAATCTAACATAAAACAGAATGCAAGTGTTGGATACAACTCTGAAGAGGACACTGAAAGGCTGCTAATTGCCATAAGGGGCAGTAACTTCAGCATATAAAGTTCTGAATGATGGAGGGCTCTGAGGTGTCACTGCAGGGCAGAGGCGGCTCGGCCCTGCAGCTCCAGCAAAGGCAGGAAGGTGTTCGCTTGGATAGGCAACAAGGAGTGTTGGAGATGAGAGTCCCACTCTGTTCAGAGCAGGAAGAAAAAAGGAGGACTCAGGGGAGCCAAGAGACAAGAAACCTGCGGAAAACCCCAGTTAACTCTCCTCAGCTCTGTCAAACTCAAATGACATGGGGAAACAGTGGCAGGATGAGGGGGGAATGGTTTTATACTAAAAAGAAGGAAGATTTAGGTTAGATGCTGGTTGGAAATCCTTTACTCAGAGGGTGGTGAGGCACTAGCACAGGTTGCCCAGAGAAGCTGTGGATGCCCCATCCCTGGTGTTCAAGGCCAGGCTGGATGAGGTCTTGGGCAAGAGGAATGCAGCCCTTCACTTCACACTTGGTCCTCCCTCTGCAAATATCATGCTTTTACCTTGCTACCACATTGTTTGCCATCTAACCAACCACATAGCTTAGTGGCACGATTTTAGTGGAGGTTTTAATTCCGTCTCTTCTACTGTGCAATGACAGTGCCCAGCTGTGGAGGGTGTACATGCCTATGCACATATGGCCAGGTAGGCAGTGACTGGGAGGCACAAAAGCAGGATGCCAGTTTTCTCAAAGTGCTTTGCAAACCAAACCTCTGTACACCTTCCTGGAAAGAAGAAAGAAACCACTTCCCCCACTTCCTCCATGTAGGACTAATCCCAGGGCTGCCTAGAAAAACACTAGAGGCTCTTAAAGCTTTCCATCATGTTAAGATTTGCGCTGTCTTCATTTGAGCTGTTGGCTTCTCACTTCAGCCTAAATCACAGCAGGCAAAGTCTTTGAAGTTAAGGCATCCAGAGCCGAAACTCTGCCAGAAATACAAACTACATGGCTTCCAAGAAATAAATTAATAAAGCAGACCTCCTTTTATTCTGCTCTCAGGCTTCACTTAAAGTTTACCCTTCGCTGTAAGTAGAATAAAACCTTTCCTGCCTTTTTCTCAGCTAGTCGTGAAAACTGCTGCCAACTAGAGCTCTGTTAGCTTCAAACGGAGACAATCCTACAGCCCCAGCAGACTTCCCAGCTTTGGCATGATGGTGTCATGGGAGAAGTATGGGTTATGCTGAACTGGGCTTTGAGGACTAGCTGCAGAAGTTGTCTGCAGCAGCTGCTGGGTCCCCAGCCTTTGTGTCCTCACAGTAAGCAGGGTGTAACTCTTTGACTCTGCTTACATGGCCTTAAAAGGCAGCAAAGGAGCACAGGGATAATTTTTGTGTGCACATGTAAGAGAGAAGAGCACAGGTGAGCAGACATTCCTAGCCAAACCATGCTAAAATTGCAAAACATGTCTTAGGGAAGAGGCAGGCTACTTTCTTTGAGTAGCCTGAGTGGGTGAGCAAGAGGCTGGTTCATGATCTGCTGTGCCTTACAGCCTCTTTTGGCTCCCTCTGTGGCTTCCCACTTCTCTTGCTGCAGAGGCGTGAGTTACAGGCAACATGTAGTCACTACAGGACTGTACGCATGGAGCTTACTCTCATTAAATGCTAATGCCACAACTCTTCTGCCTAAAGTATTTTTTTCTCTGTTGTTGCTGAAATATGCCTCTTCATGTCTTCTCCATCCATAAGAAAAGTTAGTGCTGGAGGTGCTTACAGTGATTAATAACACAACTTTTTTTCAATACCTAGTAGCATTCCATAATGACATTTCAGTTATTATTTTAATTGGTTTTATATATATAAAAAAAAAAAAAAAGCCCCTGATGTTTGTTGGTGTTTGTTCTAAAGCAGTCAGATGGCTTACTACATTTAATGAATGGAGATACTTATTAGATATTTTGGATTGTAGCCTTTTTCAACAGAACTCTACATCTGGAAAATACCTTTTCTTTTTCCCAGACCTACAATGTTCTTAAGAAATGCCCAGTAAATACGATGGCCCTGGCAACCAGGCAGACCTCCCATTCTCCTTGCCAACAGCAATAATCACTTCTGTTTTATGCACACATGCATGCAGCTGCCAAGCAGAGCTGGGGACAGTTAGCTTGCAAGAATCTTTCCAGAAAGCTGGGGGGTCCTTTCCCCAAACACACCACAGTACAAAAGAACCCAAAACAGTGGCTGTGGGAAGAATGCACAGATATTACTTGTTGTTTCCCTCCAATATGGGCCAAAGCTCAAAAGAGACCCAGTGAATGCTTTTCTATCTTCTCTGGCCTGGATGCAGAGATGTCCTACCACAGGCATGGGGTTCTCGGATCCTCCAGCTTTCATCACACATTGCCATTCTGGGCTATGGGGCTTATGCAGGGCAATACACACTGTGCTCTCCTGGTGACATTCCTTTCTGCTTCTTACTATATTGCTTTTCTGGGTTTCAGATGAAATTAACTGCAACCCAGGTGAAGGGGAAGCTGCAAGAGAGTTATGCCCTTAGTGTTATTTTAAATTTTCTAGCTTTTAAATGTGTTTCTAAAAGGATCATTTCAAGAAACACACTAGGAATAACTGCAGGAGAAGCCCAAGCAATGACATGCTATTTGTTTTAATCTGAACTGACCTCATATTGTGCAGTTATGTAGGCTTAGAAATACACTGAAGCCCAGCTCCGCCACACTGTATTTAGCCAGGGCACAGCTTGCTCATCCTTCCTGCTGATAACAGGCAAGTAGGAGCTGAAAGAGGCCAAGGGCACAGCAATAGAGAACAAGGAGGCATAGAGGCATTGTGGAGCAGCTTTGAGGACACAGGAGAGCGTTAGCAAGTTGGAAGAGACCCCATTGTGCCAAGAACTAATACCAGCCTACCTTGGAGAGCCCAAAGGACATGGTATGGATGGCCCATGGAGGCCAGCCACAGCCTGCCACACGATGGATGCAGCCTGGCATGCCAAGGGTAGAAAAGAGAAGGGATCGCCCTCCTCATTCCAGCTTGTGGAGTGCACGCAAAGGAGGTAAGGAGCCCTGCATCCTGAGAAGCCGCAGTTGCACATCGATCCCTCTCCATCCCCACACCTGTGCCCAGGCTCAGTCCGACAGCGAGGTCCTCCTTGACTCAGTGTCACTGAGTGCTGTAGGCATTAGCACATGGACTTGGGAAGGGGATTAGGAATGGCATGTAATTTGAGCGGAAATCTCAAGCCATCAGAAGCACAGCACCAAATAGGAAGGAAAATGAATAAGATCCTGCTGCTTGCTGTTCTGCAGGAAATGAGACCCATCTCTCCAGTGCATTGTTTACTTCTCTGGCATCACAATTTGGCAATTGCCCGAAGGCTAATTAGGCACCTCAATTTTCATTTTTGTGAGTAGCATCACAGTGAGGGTTCAGGAAGAAGCAACATCAATAATTTCTTCACAAAGAACAAAAAACGTTTGCTCTAGGTTAAGTGCATGAAGACAACTGGAAGCAAACTCTATAGCTGAGCAGACTTTCATAAATTAGAATAAAAACTGCTCTTCTCTTCTCTGCCTCTGAGAAGAGATCTACTATAATCTGCAAAGCTGACGGAGGCAGAAAATTTCCAATCCCAGCTTTCAAGTTTAGAGGCACAGAAAGGAAAAACTAAGTAGAATTTGCAGTTAGGCCACTGCCTGAATTTCAGACAACTCCAAAGAGCACTCACTGTGCTCTGAGGCAGCAAGGCAGCTCATGAGACTTCCCCCTACAAATGGCCACAAGGGCAAGGCAGGGATAGCAAAGGGGAAGCTTGAAATGAGGAGGAGCTGAGGCTCAGCAATGATAAACACTGACAGAAGTTTGAAGGAAGGATGCATCTCTGGGAGTAAGGTCACAGCACAAGGCTGAGTGGAAAATACCTAACTTTGAAAAAAATCTAAACAAAATGTGTATATGCTTGTATTTTTCACAAGTGAGTGCCTCAGTGCGGAGCTACACTATGGAGCCAACAGATGCAATGTCCTCAGCTGCTGCACAGATTTCCTCTCTATAATCTCCATCTCCTTCTTTCCAGTCTCACTTGATAGAGATGATCCTACACAAGCTAGGAGCAAGTCAGCATCCAATTCTATGATGATCAGATGGGTTCACAATTAGCCAAAATAAGCAAGGACCTTGATAAAATGCAAGTACAGTGTAAAACACCCTAGTGCCACTGAATTCTTACCAGATCCTTGGAAGTCTTCAAAATCCTTTTTGCTTTCCATATTGCAGTACTCAGTCCCACCTAGGAAAGCAAGAAAAAAGAGACAAAATAACAACAACAAAAAACACAAAACAAAACAAACAAACAGATCAGGTTCACAGTATCTCAGATTTTCTCCCCTTTTTTATTTTTATTAGTCACAGCACAAAAATGATGTATGAGTTCACAAACGCATCATCTTCTACTTTTTATTGGACTAACAATCAATTATCTGATCACCCAATATGAAAATCCATTGGCAAGAGTTCATTTATTTTGCTCCAGGGCATCATTTATTTCCTGAGGGATAGTCCAGATCAGGATATGAATTTCAGCTTTTAAACTGACTGAATCACATGAGCTGTAGAAAACCAGCTTCTCCATGATTCCTGCAGAAAAGTAACCCATTCGTTAGATGGTCGGAAAAGGGTTATGTTTGTGTTGCCTTGCTGTGGTAGAGTATGGTCTTGCACACATGGGGGCTATCCTCGTCTGAGGTTCATCCCAGCAGAGAAACAGCCAGAGTGCAGGACAAGAGGGAATAACACCTGAAAGGCAAACCTCCTGGTTGGACTCTAGGAATGTCATCTCTTCATTCTGGGAATACCTGTCCTGGAGGGAAAGTACTTGCTGACAACAGCAAGAATTGCCTTACTGCTGGGTCATATAAAATTGCATTGAAGCAGTGTTTCGGGATTCTTTCAAAATGAGGATAATTGAATTTAAACAGAAAGGAAGAATGGGAGGACTATTGAAAACAGGGCTAGAAAAGACCTTGGAAAGGCATCCTTGAAAATCGAACATCAGTTGGCCATTATGAGGCCATGGAACACAAAGACATCAGCTACCAGTGATACCTCAATTCCCCAAGCTCCCCCCCAGGTAACACACATCCTCCTCAAAGGAGGAGAGGAAATTTCTCGCAAAACACACCAACTGCGAGTGCAAGGGACAGCCAGGAACCTGCGGCCAGCAGGAAGATGGCCATGCCATGTACAGTGTGGCAGGGCTGTGGTTGAACGTGCACCATCTGATGGTTACCACAGCTGGGGACTGCCAAGCACTGAGAAACGTCCCTGGGGAGCAGCAGGGATACCACACACGAGGAAACCCTGTTAATATGACAGACAGCAGCTGGGTGCCCCAAGATGATCTCAGCTTGCAGATTTGTGTGCAAACTTCAGGCAAAAGCATTTGCTTTTGGTGAATTATCATCACCATGCTTCCTCCTGCTGCTCCATTCTCCTTTTTGGACAACATTATTCCATCTCAATGATGATAGATCCCATATACTGTCCTGCTTTTATAAGGCTATCTTGGCAAACAGTAATATCTATGAAGACTTGGTCTGCATGAAGGCCACTGCCTTTTCCCTCAGCATTTAGCTCAAAGAAGGCTGAAAGTACCGCTCATTTACCCTCATTCAGAAAAAAAGAACTGCTTTTGTTCTGTGGGCTTTGATGTTTGGCTTAAAAAAAATAATCAATTACTTCTGAAATTCGCTCAAATGGAAAGAAAAAAAAACATACCGGTGTGTAACAAATATATTAGCACTTTGATTCTTATCAAAATGGTTAGTAAGGACAAAATGTTCTGTCAGAAGATGACCTCTCATCAGTTCCTCCTACAGCCCAGCCTACAGTATAAAGTACTAAAGCATTTCTAAAAGAAAGAGAATATCCCTTAAGTGACAGCACCTTAGTGAACAGCGGGCATGCCAGCTTGGAATATTAAAGCAGCATATATTTGCATTTCAAGTAACCATTATCAACATTTTTTACCGTGGATAAAATTTAGCATGTCATAATAATTGATTTAGGCAATCATCAAAGCAAATTAATTAAGTGAGAGATTCAAGGGTCAAAAATTTATGGTTAACAATAGAAAAGCATAAGGAAAAATAAGAACAAGCAGCAAGGAACACAGACTTCTAAGTGCTTTATACACATGTAAACCATCTTTGTGTCTCTAGTCTTATAAAAATGTGGGTATGTCACAAATAATAGATGAGAGATGCTAGGAAGGAGCCAAGATAATGTTTTCTAGTTCCATCCCACTGGGCAAGTTCTGTCCCCAAAATCAAACATGTATCTTGCATTTGCAACAGTTATATTGTGTGTGCTGCCAGTTGCTGTCTTTTCTGCAATAAAAGACATTGATGCTCAGATGAGGAAACTGGCTTAAAATAGAATACAATGTATGAAAAGTTTCCAAGGAGGTAAGGCTCATCAAACCCTTTCTGCTGGGCAGGAAGGGAGAAATGTTTCCTGCTCTTGGCAGCAATGCATCAGCACACAGTTTAGACAGCTACAGCAATACAGTGCTGAGAAAGTGTAAGAGAAAGGACAGGACTGGGCTCCCAGGGCTCTGGCAGCTGATGGACACGGGTGTGCGGAGCCTAGACAGCAGCCAGCCCCATCCACCCAAATCAGCTCAGCCTGGCCAGCTGATTGCTGCCGTAGTGCATAAGGTGGCCATGCCATGGATGAGGCTAGGATGTGGGGTGATCACTGGGATTTCAGTCGCTACCTTCCTTTAATGCCCTCCACAGAGCCCTGGTATTCCCAGCTTTATTATTATTATTATTTGTAAACAGATCTATTCCTCATCATAAACAAGTACACAAAGCAACTTTAACTGTCTCTCATTTATCATCCTTGTTAGCTCGCTCTATCCTGGCTAGATAGGAGAGCAGATATTTACAAAACATTCCAACAGTTCCCTTTCTAACTCCTTTTTATCATCTTTTTACCAGGAATAGGCATATCAAGGTACAAAAACATTGCAGAACTCGTTAAGCAGCACCAGCAAAAATGGGATTTGTTCTATAGCTCCCAGCTTTCATCCTGCAGAGGCTTTAAGGGGAATCATTACAATTGCATGGGACAGACAAACCAAATAACACATGCTCAGAAATCAAAATAGGGACCTTCTGTGCAAGCCCAGATCTAAAACATGCAAGGCTTGACTCAGAGCTTTCTCCTCCACGGAGAACTAATTTGATTTCCAGCCCTTTTAATCCACTTGTTTCTTTTAGACTTGGACTCTGTGTGTTCTGGGAGCCACATTTGGATTTATTTTTTCTCCTTGGCCTCTGCAAAACACAGAGCTGGCCTCCATGAGCAACACCTTGACCTCACACTCTTGCCTGCCATTCTCCTGCCCCAAACACTGGTTTCTTTCACGGAAGGTTAGGATTCTGGTGTTTTAGTTTTGCATTTTATTTTCTGCTAATGAATGAGAGCAGAGACAATGGTGAGAGAAAAGTAAAAGGGGAGAAACAAGTGCTGCCTTCTTTAGCTTGCCTGTCAGATGTTTCTTCAGGGCTCAGTTCTGACTGCAGCAGAAACACTTCACGTTTCAGAAGGCTTTGCCTATCTCCAGAAAGGAGATCTGGCTTCCCAGGACCCTAGCCCACCTGCCAACATCTTGCTTTATGGCCTATGGCTGCAAAGCAAGGAAACAGGGCACAGAGACAAGATTTGCCTTTGGCTGGCAGCTTGGTCTCCTCAGGAACACAGAAGCACTCCCGCCCCACAGCTTGGTTCTGCCCCACCACCTGGTACGTGGTTTGCGTTTTCACTCAAAAAGGGAGAGGAATGAGAGAAAGTAGTAACTAGTAGCAGTGTTTTTATTCAATGAAACTCTAAACAGCTGCTTTCCCTAGTCAGACTTTGTTGGCTTCTAGTTTGTAAAATCTGAGCTGTAGCTGAGAGATCCCAAGCTGGAAACCTAGAAGAGCATGCCAAAGACCTCTCTTCATTTGGCTGAAATGTGTGTGCATGCACTTGCTCGGATAGTCACCCAGGCAGACATGAACAGTTTTGGACACTTCTTTATGACCAGGACTGCCACTCTCAATCTAGCCCAACTGTTTGTATCCTTTTCTTTTTTCATAAACATCTTTTGCAAGAGGCTCCTAGCAAGGCCACGGACAGATCCCTATTCAAATGTGTGAAATACCTTCATTTTAGTTCTCATTTCCCTAGAAACAAAACTTCTGTTAACTCCACTGCATTGGCTTTGTAACATGACCAAAGTGCTCAGCCAGTCCATGTCACCCAGAAAAACTATGAATCCCAGCCACAGTACTCAGATGCAAGCTGCACAACCAGGCTTGCTGCAAAGATCAGGCTGCCCACAGTAATGTCCATGAGGGATGTGTCTTTTGTTTTGTTCAAAGTGAAAGGTCTGACAGTGGGGACATGAACCAGCACCAGCGCTTGTGGCAATGAAGCTTACTTTGGTAGAATAAAATGACATTAGCATAAATATGTATATTTTTGCTGATACAAGATGACTCCCAGTAAATTTCTGCTACTGGAGATGAAGCTAAAGTCTGCAGTCACAAGGCCTCTAATAATCTGGAGCAAAAAAGGCACTCTGAAGGGCAGAAAGAAGAATGAAAGCTCCTTCCAGCACCAACTGTTCAGGAGACTGGCAGCAGCAGGACACCAGTGCTGAAATCAAGCCATTATTCTAGCCCGAACAAAATCAATTTAAGTATTGCCATTTAACTGAATAGTCCAGCTGGCTTAACACAATCTAGGGAGAAATTGAGATGAGCTTCCTGCAAATCTGCTCCCCACCTGGAACACAAGGATGGCTAGCAGCGCCAAAACCTTCACCCTATTTCAGCCCTTTTCACTTGGTGAAGGAAAATCCCTGTCACAGGACCCAGTGCAGAAAGTCCTCCACCATTGGAGCTGATGAACATTTTTAGCTAAAACAATATCCTGTCATCCTAAACCAAGTAGCTTGGATAGACGTAGCCACTGGCAGCACTTCTGTGCAGTACTGCAGCCATCATTAAACTATTCTCTGTTGATGCACCTTTACCCACAAGGCATGTTACAGCAACTGTAGATGCTGCCCAGACCTCAGCTGCCAACGGCAAACCTACATGTCACTTCAACTGCACCATGTTATTTGGCCTCCTGACTTGGAGGAGTCCCCAGAGCCACTTTTCTCATACAAAAGGGAGAGGACAGCCTCTGGTAGTACAAGAAATATACAGCGGGAGAGCCTACACTTGCACCTGCCTTTCTAGCCCTGGTCTATAGGCCACTGGTGGCAATGAGGTGGGGTCACGGGACCCCACACCAAGTGAAATCTGCTCACAGCACTGCACAGCCATGCTGGTGATCTGCACCAACACCTCATCATCCTTCCATTTCTCCCCACCAACATCAGGGTTTGCTCCCAAAACGACCCTCTTTCAGGCCTGGGGCTGCCCTGCCAGGCAGCTTGCTGATGAGGCTCTGCCCTCCAGCTCCTTGCTGAGAGCTTTGCTCCATGGAAAGAGAGCAGTGGTTTTTATTCACAGTTGGAGCCAAGTCTCCTAGAATAATCACAGAGCACTAATGGCTCCGGGCAGGTTGGCAAAAAATTAATTTCAGCTAATTTGTCAGAGACTGGGGAAGTGATATAGTGCATATACCACTTACATGGTATGCAACGTCTCAATTATGCAGATAGTTTGCTGGGTCTCTGAAGACATGGCTCTTTCTGTGATACATGTGATTTCGACTAGAGCAACATCACAGAAACGTATCAAAATAAACTAGATTGAAAAAGCAGCTATGTGTTGATATTTACCATGTTAAAGACAATTAAAACCAGAACATTATACTGCTTTATAAGGGCAAGTAGCTCAGCTTGCATTTCACTCCCTTTGCCAGTACAAACACAATACTAATTCTTGGAAAATGTGCATCCAAAAGTCTAAATGAATAAATGAAGTACCTGAAAAATCGATATTGTTGAACAAAGCAGTCATTAGTATTAAAGTCTTGCTCAAATACTTGGCAGGGGACTGAGCCAGCACTTGCAGGCTCATATAACTGAAGTGATCAATCAAATTACAAACCAAAGGAGCAAATGTGAGGTAAACTGCATTTTATGCATCTGTGTCTCTGACTGTATATTAATTTTTTTTTTCCTCCACCTGTAATTCATCTTTACCCAGTCTGACTTGTCATGGAATTACTGTGGGCAATTTATCAACCACTTGAGCATGAATTCAGAGCCCTGCTCTTCTCCCATCTCGCTGTGCTGTCTAGGGGCACCAAACGCGCTAAGATGGAGACTAAAGCCTGGGTAAAGAAATCATTTTGTTAATAGAGCTCCCTTAATCCTGGTGAGAAGCAAATATGCCTTGACAGAAAGTAGGACATAACCACCATTTGGAAGGGAGAGCTTTTCCTGATGTACAGCCACAAAGCAAAACAAAACAAAAAAAACAGGGAGGATGGGTAAGAATACCCTGATTTTGGTGCAAAGGTTTATGACAAACTCCTAAAACTGGCTAAAAAGCTGCCCTTGCTTTCTAACACATCCCATTTCCCCTTGGCTTGGCCTCTTTTGTGCCTGTGCAGGGCTAGCTGTGACCTTTAGAAATTGCCCTGAGCTTCACGGTCTGCCAAATCAGGAAAAATTTTTGCTTACACGGAGAGCCCAAACCTCTCTTTAACTGAAGTTCATTGCCTGCATCCCCTGTCACCCCAAGAGGTGGCTTGCACTTCTGCCCCAGGCAGAAGTCAGGATGCAGGATGGTTTCAACTTCTTTTTGTTCCCCTGACACAAGCAAGGAAGTCCATATGAAAAAATCCGTGTCTGGGGCTGGCACTGCAGTGTACGTGCAGCCATGGGTGCCACAGCTGTCCTCCTGCTTGCTCTGCTACACTGGGAAAGCCTGCTAGGCTCTCACCTCCAGCCTGAGGACTCCTAATTATAACAAGAACAAAAATGGAAAAAAAAAAAAAAAAAAAAGAGACTGTACGGTCACTGACAAGGTCTCTGCTGCTATAACAAGTGAAGAGGAGGAAAAAACCTATGCAATTATCGGGGCAGAAACTCTTGAAGACTAAAGAAAATTTGTGGGATGAATAAAGACCTGGCTGTCATTAATAGAGCACCCGCAACAGGGCAGATCTGCTGTGCTTTGGGAAGGGTGGAAAGAGCCATGAGCTGTTTTACCAGTTCAGATGGAGTATTTCTGAAGAAACATGTTTGATGAAGTTTGGGCAATGTCCTGGTTGAATCAGGTCAGTGTGGGCCCTCTCTTCTCCAGCACACATTTTCTTTCATCCCTGCCTGGTTGCACCCCTGTATATCTTTATGCTAACATGGTACAGGGCACAAAAGTCATATGGGGCACCCACCTGTTATAACATAAACGCTATTGTCATTCTTGGAATACAAGCGTTTCTGCAGCTCTTAATATTGGGTGAACTAAATCCATCCTGGAGATGAACCACAGCTCATTGAAGCCCATAAAAAGGCTCTCACTGATTTCAGTGGCTGCTAGGCAAGACCCTGTGTAAAAATACCTTATGCAAACCTTTAGAAATCAGGGAGGAATTTATCCAGATGCAGGAAAAATATTTCCAAAAATAGACTTCTCAGTGAATCACTTGTGTTTTTTTTTGACATTGCCAGACAGCCACTATTGCTGTCAGGTTTCAGTGCGAACTGGGCTGCACGGTAACTGAAAGCAACCACAACAACCAAGTGTATCTGTTTGCACACCTGTGCATGTGTGTTTGTGTCCTAGTGTCACGGAGCTCTGACACACAGTCAAGTCCCCATGGCATAATAACCATCCATCCCCACTGCTGTGGGGATGCATACATCCCTAGCCTGTGGTAAAAGGTTGTGCAAGTTAGCTTAAACCTCTCCCACGGCAGATCAAGCCAAGTCAAATAACCCCACATTTGTGGTGGGAAGCTAGGGCCCACGCAGGCTCTCACGGCTGATCAGACAATGCAGGATAACTTCTCGTGCCATGCTAACGTAGGGGTATAGGTGAACTGCAGCTGAGTATCAGCTTGGGGGTTATTGCGCTGCTTAACAATAAAGTCTGGGTATAATGAGTTTTTTTGGTCTACTCTCTGTCTCTGACCAGGCTGGTAAAAGGAAGGCTGGCACTGCAATTCCCACTTCCTAATACCTACATTACTGACACTCCAAACAGCATGCTGTGTACCTTCCATTCAGACAGGCATTTTCTGAAAGCATCCGTATTAAAAATGTTGATTCCCCCTCCCCCCCAAACAATACACATGGCCTGAAAGCCTCTGTACTTCTCAATCCCAGCTTAAGGAGCCGTCCACAGCTCACAGCTTTGAAAGAAGTCAAAAAGCAACTCACCTTGGGAGGAGGGTAAAGATGACAAAGTGGTTGTCCTGGATCCTGTTTACACAGCCTCAAGGAATGGCAGACCACATCAGCATTCATTTCCCTGTCTATGCTAAATGAAATGGTGCAAAAAGAGAGATAACTATGTTCTATTGGGTGCTTGGAAGCAGAAGCTATTCCCATGGGAAGCTAAATCTCAGAACTACATGACAGCCTCAGTACACTTCATCATAGCCCATAACCACTGCTCCGTATGCTGTTAGACTCTAAATAACTTTCTGCCATGGTATCCTACTCAGCATTTAAAACTGGATGATAAAAAAGCACTGCACTTGACATGCACCTGAACCAAATACATTATGACTCTTCTGTTTTTTAATCAATCAAAAGTCTGACAAAAATTTAAAGGTTAAAGTTAATGCATATGCAATTTGGCACATATGAATGTTCAGTCATTAACTCAGAAAAATAACCAGAAATCCTTCAAAGATCCTTAACCTTTAATCACCAAGCGCAAGTGCTAGGACTGTTTCCTTCTTTTTGGGACACACCTCTGGGCCAATCAAGAATTAAATTAAAATGTTTGATTGGAGCACTTCTTCCTGTAGGCACTTTCAGTCCCTTGGCTAGTTTGAAAAATAAAAATAAAAACCCTAGGGAGGGAGAAGGTCTAACAAAGACTCTGTTAATTAAACTAAGAACTTTCAAAGGGGAATAAAATGATCTATGTTATTTTTCTTTAATCACTTACATTACTTAGTGGGCTTCCCCAAGAGTGTGTATCAAGGTCAGGGCTAAGAGCATGTAGGGGCTGACAATTAGAAAGCTTGATTAAAGATAAAAGGGAAAATGAGAGACAAGTGTTAACATAGTGGGACTCTGTCGAACCTGTCTTGCACACACAGGTTATTCAGATTCCTCCGTCAGCCAAACAAGCTGGATTTCAAAATGTAATTACATCAGGTGGGCCTGATCTGAGAGGCAAATGCAGCATGAAAGCGGTTAGCAGCAGCAGCCTGTATTTATTCACTCAGGAACAGCTGTGCCAAATACCGAGCTGGAATTGCTCTCAAGCATTTCTGCTTTAGAAACCAGGTGATTTTAGGAATGAAAACCCTGCATTTCAATCTGACGGTGCATCCATACTTCTGAAAGCACAAACTAAGCCAGGACTCAAGAAGATACAGATATACTTACAGTTCAGCTATGTGAGGTCCGTAAAGTTCAGCAAGGATGTAACAGAAACCTTGCAGTTTTTCTAGAAAACATAAGTTTTTAAAGTAACTCAGCACAGTGAAACTGGTTTTATGATAGTCAAAAAACAGCAGGATTTGCTTTAGGTGAATGATGATTTATCTAAGAGAAATGCATGTGACCCTGACTTCAGCATAGAACCAGAGAATGGGTGAAATTCTGAATTTCTGACCTAGGCTGGGACATGAAGACCTTCTCTGGCTTTAGGCAAGCCACATGGAAAGGACTGAAAAGGATAACAAGCACTTGCTAAACGTTTGGAGTGTTGCATCATGTGAAAGCTGAAACAAATCATGTATGCTGCGGCATTTTCTGAGCAGTTTAAGCAAACTGTGACAGGCTTACAAGAGGAAAGAAAACAAATAGATAAAGTGCAGCAAGCGATGAAGGACAGGAAAGAAAACAAATAGATAAAGTGCAGCAAGCGATGAAGGACTTCACGCTACTGCTGGTGCTGCCTCCGTGTCTCTGGGGGATTTTGCAAGGTAGAAGATGCTGTTTTGTATAGAGCAGGAGTAATACCATTCAAACAAATATTTGACACTTTGCATGTTGGTCCCTTTCACAGTCTCCAGCCATTTGCTGTCTCAGGGGTCTTTTTTGAATCTGGGTGCAATGTGCCCTTCATGCCCTGCAGAAGACAGCTCATCAGAGGTTTCTTTGAGGTACCGTTGTAAAAAAGCAGCCCCTCTACCACTTCACAACCCCTGGGAGAAGACTTGTTTCCCAGCCTGAGCAGCCAGGAGCTGGCTAACCATGCACACATCCTGCAGAGGAGGTGCTATGCCCTGCCTGGGCAGCACTGCTGCTGGTAGGAGCCACCAAGAGGCTGGGTTGCACCAGCAACCTCACACCTGGTGAAATTCCTGAGAAGTCATTTCTTCTTGCACATCCATGACCCTGGCTGTACTCACCCCAGAGAAACGAGAACATGGCCCTGGAAGGTGCATTATTTCCCCAGCACCCTCCTACTCATTCAGTGTTGCAGACAGCTCTTGTAACAGCAGCAGCTGATTTTTCTTATCCCATGCCAGATTTTTATTTCAATCAAGTTATTAGCTTCATTTCTTTGCCTTTTTTGCTGCATAATTCCTCTCTATTGGCTTTTTAGGAGCTATCTGTGAGTCAAAAATTGGTCTCCTGGCTGGAATTAGATTTTATTCATGTTTACCTAAAAGGAAAGGCATCACAGACATCAATAACCCCACATTTGGTATCGTTTCTGATTATAGCACCCTTGGATGAGGCTGGGCACCTGTCTCCCTCCGGCATCCCACAGAAGGTGGCTGGCTTCCCCAGCCCATCCCTGGGGCATCACAGGGGATGCTCTCCATGCAGGTTTCCCAAACCAGCTGATTTCCACAAGGTTTGTGGAGCTGGAGAGCTGCCATAGCCTGCACTGGAGGCTGTGAGGAGGGGAGGCTTTGGCTGGCCATGGTGCTGGGAGCCTGCTGGCAAGGCACATTGCTAGGTGCTGATTTCCTTGTGCCCATTTACAGCACATGCCCTGTATATGTGTGTCCACAAACCTACTGAACTCACACAAGAAGAGGATACTACAGAGAGAAAGCTCTGTTGGGAAGAAGATGTGTAAGTCAGAAAGGAGGGGAAAAGAGAGAGATGATGACAGATAATGTTGAATATTCAGGGACAAGATAAGAGCTTAAACCAAACTAAGCACTGGAGAATTTAGAGAAAAACTTTGAGGTGGTTGGCCAGAAGTAAATATACTTCCTTCTGCACTGCTTCAGGGAAGAAATCCCCTAACTTCCCTGTACTTACATGATAAAAATCTTTTTTTTTTTTTTCCACTATAGCTTTGTAGTGTTAGAAATACAAATCCTGGTTGAGTCTCAGCAGATAAATATTTGCAGGAAAGATGGTATTAATCATGTTGCCATTTCCACTCAAGCTCTAAGGTGTTTACACAGCAGTGGTTGACAGAAGCAGAGCATGACTTGGATGCAACGCCAAGACAGACAGTCTCAAAGCACATTTTGGATATCAGACACCTCTCTTTCATCCAGCAGACAACCAGGATCCAGGCAAACACATATTCTTGCTAACATCCCTTTTACCACAAATACTTCCCGTTCCTCCAGACCTGGCATTTCTGTCTGCTCCTTCACTGGTGTTACTATTAATACTTTCATAGTTTTATTGTCGCTCAAATCACGTACATGGCACATACAAATATTTTCTTGCCAGCACGACTGTGTCTTGTTCTACACAGCCTATGGGATTGAGAGGGAGTGATGGGTGCTGAATTCCTCTCTTTTTCTTTAACTATTTTTGTTTTTGAATAGCATGTAACATCACTGAAGACCTGATCCAACTCCCCTTTATTGCAATCAAAATTATAAGAGGCCCTTTAACAAAAAAAAAAAAAAAGAAAAAAAAGTTCTTATTCCCTTTTTGTCCCTAGAAAAATTCTCATTGCCATTGATTTGCCACAGTTATTCTTAAAAGTAATTGTAGGCATGTGTCTAATAATGAAATGGTTCCTTCAGCAGAAATGGCATGGCCTGATTTAATAGGCTTGCTCCTCATGAGTATCCAAGCTTTTCTATTGTTTCAAGGAGCGAGAGGAAGCTGATGAATCCTGCTGGGCTACAGAGTTCACCTCCTAGGGGAGGATAAATTGCGTTACACAGTAGCTCCTGCACAATCCCTAGGATTTTTCACTCCTTTCAAGTTCAGGGTCATTTTTTTCTATTGGGTGTATCCATGCATCTCACAGAAGGTAACAGGATTATACAGATTTAACTAAAGGGATAATAGGATTTTATGTGTGTAAAGAATGGCAGTTGAAAAGAAATATCTTGACATGTCAGCTGAACATGGTCCATGGAGTGAATCATGATCATAGACCTAGCATGTCATGTTTTAAAGAAGAAAATTGTATTTTAATATCAGGATCAGCGCTTCTAATTGCAACTTCATGGTTATGTGCCTATAATTTAAAACACTGAGGATATTACTTATGGAATAGAAATAAGATAAGCATCATTCTGTCAATTAATGAATTCCAGTAATTACCTCCCTGACCCATCCTGTATCAGGAAATAATGTCTTGGAAAGGAAGGAATTAATATTCTACATGCATCTTCTGTGAAACGGAGGTCTATCAAGATGGTTTCTTAGAGATACAATTCATGAAGGCCTATAAAAATGGCTCTTTAATGTAGAATCCTAAGCCACCTTTTTGCATTCATAAAGTTAAAAAGATGACATTAATGTGAGATCTAGCTATTTAAATAGTTGTAGGATGGGTCTGTGAAGCACAAAGCTATTTTGGTATTCAAACTGTTCTCTATTTAGAGACGTGCTTGGACAGAGAGACTCCCTTGGGATAAAATAAGAGAAAGAAAAGGGGGAGTCTACATATATTCATATGGAATAGCTCTCACTTTTGAAATTTTTCTCATCAGTTACATTTCAATAGCTTTTCTGTGCAGACCAAATGGTTCACATCTTATCGCTGTCAACCTCAGCTAATTTTTATGATTTTACAATAGTGGCTTCCTATCCATGCTGAAAATATTTTAATCTTCTCAGTTGCTACAAAGACCCGTATCAACAAGAAAGAGGAATGGCTGGACATACATCGAATCTGACTATTTTTAAGCTGTTAACAAAGAGACAAAGGGGAGACAAAGAGCAGGGAGAAAGAGACTGACAGGCATGTGGGCATAATACAACCCCATTCACTGTAGCTTTGGGACAAAATCCCAGCTCCGCTGAAGCCACGTCTTCCCTGCAGATAGCACCTGCCTATCTTTCAGCCACATTGATTTTAGATGCTGCATGAGAAGTGGCTAAGGCTTTTTCAGACTCAATGTGTGAATTTTTAATTAACAAAGAAATACAGCAGTACCGATGTAACATATGGCACATTATTTGGTACTTACCAGGTATGTAGTTGCACAGTCTCTCCACAGCTGCCTTTACTGTACTGTTGTGCCACTGTGCAAGCTGTTCAATCACAGAGACCACAAGCACACATCCTTCAAACAAACAAACAAACAAACAAACAAAGAGAGTGAATACAGTTATCCACATTGTGTGATGAAGCACCCTGTGCCATACTTCAGGTGTCATTGGGCATTTAATTTCTTGATATGCTCCATGGCAGATGAGTGCTTGGGGGTTGGGGGAGTGAATAACTGTAAATTTCTGACTTAATTAAAAAACACGTAGGTTATCAGAGAGACATATCGATGTAAAAGGAAAGCACAGAACAGCCTGGCTTTTACAGCACCGAACATGGCTTTTAAATAAAGGATTTTCTATCCTTTCAAGGATGAAAACCAAGGAGTACAGTGGAGAGCTGCAGCTTACACCTGTCAGCTTTGCCTCCTGCCCTCCTGGTACCTTTCACATGAAAAAGGACACACTTCTTTACCTGATGGGACTTCTTGTTCACACAAGCCACACAGAAAGCTACCAAAACTACAAAATGAATGGGTGATATGGCTGCCTGCAAAAGCAATGTCATGGACCAGACGTGTGTGCCAACAGCCATGGGGCATCATAACCACTGTGGCACCATTTCTTCACAGGCTTTCCTCTGAAGCCCAGTGGTGTTTGGCATGTGTAGGGCCATTAGGCCCAGCTAGCCATTGCCTAAAGCCAGAATGCCACAGGGTTTTTTGGGCCCCTCGCTACAAGAAGGACATCGAGGTGCTTGAGCGGGTCCAAAGAAGGGCGACGAAGCTGGTGAGGGGCCTGGAGAACAAGTCCTACGAGGAGCGGCTGAGGGAGCTGGGATTGTTCAGCCTGGAGAAGAGGAGGCTCAGGGGCGACCTTATCGCTCTCTACAGATACCTTAAAGGAGGCTGTAGAGAGGTGGGGGTTGGCCTGTTCTCCCACGTGCCTGGTGACAGGACGAAGGGGAACGGGCTAAAGTTGCGCCAGGGGAGTTTTAGGTTAGATGTTAGGAAGAGCTTCTTTACTGAAAGGGTTGTGAGGCATTGGAACAGGCTGCCCAGGGAGGTGGTGGAGTCACCATCCCTGGAAGTCTTCAAAAGACGTTTAGATGTAGAGCTTAGGGATATGGTTTAGTGGGGACTGTTAGTGTTAGGTTAGAGGTTGGATTCGATGATCTTGAGGTCTCTTCCAACCTAGAAATTCTGTGATTCTGTGAGGGTTCTTTCTGCTCTCCCACAGTGGTAAAGAAAACATTTCCTCTGAACTACAAAGGTGATCATTTCACATCACTAATCTTGCTGCAAGCAGGAATAAAGCTTAGCTGCTCCTTGTAGTGGGTACAGCTGAGACCTAAGAGCTTACACATCATAGTAAGGCGTTTCTTGAGGTGTGAAGCACTAGTTTTCTGATACTTTTAAGATGAAGAAGGTTCAGTGTCATCTGCATATACAGATAATTCCAAATTCACACAATGACCATAACCCTCTAATTTCAGGCAGATTTTAAATTGCTGTGAGTCAGCATTGCACTCTCCATTTCTGCAGTGGCTCCATCCTTTTATTAAACAAACAAACAAACAAAAATTCAGTGGTGTCAACTCTAACAAAAATAGTTACACTTCACAGCTATTGTGGAGAGTGAGGTCCCAGCCTGGACTCAGAGCCTATGTAACACAGCTGGGTATCCCAGGCAGCCAGGAGACAGGGAGCCAGAAGGCCAATTTCCAGCAGTACGAACAAAGATTTCTCTTCAAAATCCCTGTAGCCGAACCCTCTTTCATCCCTGGTACAAGAAATCTAAGTTCTCAAAATTGGCACTGACACAGTCCAGAAATGGAGGGCAGCTGCAACATTTAGAAGTGGATGAAGATCCATCTCTTTCCAGATCTCAAGAGAATTAATGTTTAGGTTTCCAGACTGGCACAGCTCTTCTAAGTGAGCTTATAAAGTCCTACCAAGTGCCTATGTGCTATTAAATCAAAGTGGTATTTTTCAACATAAATAACTTCAGTGCTCCTATGGATCAAGTAGCAAGTCAAAGAGGAGGTAGAATAATTGGAACTTGCAGTTCCAATATCTTTGAGTTGTCCGTTACTCCTCCTGCACCAAAAACAGTAATTCAGTGGAAATTACAGTGAACTTGCCACCTTTTTGCAAAGATAAAAGCCCACTTCTCCATACTTATTAAATAAAACTCTCACTCAAAATCCTCTGCAGAATGATTTATAAAGGAGGTCATTACCTCTCATCAGCCTAGAAGAATAGGAGAGTATATGGAGACAAATTCAACCAAGAGAAAACCCCGAAACAAGTCATTCCTTCTTCTCTCAACCCTGCAAAACACACAAGCTAGCCTGAGCAACACTCATAATCCAACAGGTTGTCCTGAGGATAAAAATACCCTTGGTGCTTCACTTTCCTCTGGAATACAAAAAGACAGCCTCCACTGAAGATGTAAGACATTTTCTCTCTCATGTTTGTCAAAGTACTGCAGAGGGGGGAAAAATAGCTATTTTTGGTCCAGCTCTGCCAAACAGAAACAGAATTCTTAATCACAAAAACAATCATTCAGGTAGCCCTACTCAGGAAGAGGTTTCCTGGCAATTAAATGGAAATTTTTCATGTTTATTAAGTCAGTCAGGCACTTCTGTGTCTATTGAACCACGCCCAAGGGGAGATTTGCTTTGCCTGAGAATTAACAGAGTTATTGCTGAGATGGTGAAGTACTTAATGCAGTACCTTGGGCTACTGGATGCTATATGAATATAAATAACAATAATAGCCTGACAACTTGGGAAAAACCCACGGAGCTGAACTTCAGGGTGTTTGGTCTCATAAACCCATCTTTACTGTCACACGGAAGATGCTATAACCCCTCCCTGCTGCAGGCACCCATCAGCCACAACTTCATTCTTCGAGTGCTCCCCTTGAATGTAGTTTCTCCTGATTAAACACTACACTTGGCAGGACAAGCAGGTGAAGAAAGACTTGACTGATTTTCAAGGGGGTCTGCACTTCCAGTTAGAGGTGTCCTTCGCCTCAGATGCTGTGGCTCTCTGCTCCTCCTGGTCTGCTGGCACTTCTTGTTGTCCCACCACAGGCCATGCCCCTGGTGACTTCAGAACTTTTCCTCTAGACTGAGGTCATCAGGAGCAGCTCTTGGCTTGGAGACTGTAAGTTACTCAGGAAAAGGAGAAACGTATAAGGACTCACTCTAGTCCAGGGAGTCAACCCCACACATGCTCCCTGATTTTTGTATAAAAAACACACTCCCCCCCCAGGAGCAATTCAGATTTATTCTCTAGGAGAACCTGTGTCCTGTGTTGAGTTATAGGTAAAGCCTCAAGGGGTTAGTGTCCATAAGCTGAAGTTAACTCAGACTATCCTTGCTCCTACTACAAATCCTTGTTTCTCATCATATAGGGCATCTTCCTCTGGATTTAGTGGTAGGAAAATGATTCATGGCTGGCTGCAGCAGCAGAAGCCACTACCCCCTAACAAAATCAACAGAAATGTCCCTGCATGCTAAATAAACAAATAATCAGAAATGCTAACAAGTTATCCTAACCATTAATAGCTCTTAATCCTGTAGGCTAAAAATGTAAAATAGCTAAAAATGACAGGGGGAAATCATATGTCTCTGACTGTGGAAATCTCATTGCTATAATTAAGTATGATTACTTGTGTGTGAGAGTATAAACTTCTTAATTCTCTGGGATCTGTAGAAAAGCACTTCCAGATCTGGACAGTCATTAGCAACTATTGCTTGCTTTTAATTTACTAGATATTTACATGTGATAAATGGGCACATATAAAGCAATGTATCATAAAATGGCTGGGATTGGAAGGGACCTTAAAGATCATACAGTTCCAACACCCTGCCATGGGCAGGGACACCTCCCACCTGACCAGGTTGTCCAGAGCCCCGTTCGACTTGAACACCTCCAGGGATGGGGCATCCACAGCTTCTCTGGGCAACCTGTCCCAGTGTCTCACTACCGTAAGCAAAGAATTTCCTTCTAGGATCTAATCTAAATCTCCCCTCTTTTAGTTTAAAACCATTCCCACTTGTCCTACCACTATCTGCCCATGTAAAAAGTCACTCTTCATCTTTTTATAGCCCCCTTTAGGTACTGAAAGGACACGGTGAGGTCTCCCCAGAGCCTTCTCTTCTCCAGGCTGAACAGCCCCAGCTCTCTCAGACTTTCTTCACAGGAGAGTGCTCCAGCCTTCTGATTATCCTCATGAGAGCTCTTGCACTCTAAGTGTCCTTAAAGAGTTGCCAGCTCTGATCAGTTGCCCTGTCACCAAGGTCAGCATCCCATGGGGTCTCACCCACTAATTCTTTAAACAGGTGGGATTTTGGTCTCCTAATTTTCATGGTCCTGACTTCGCTCTTTGCCAGGCCCATATTCCTCAAGATCACAAACTCAGCCATGGTGTGGTTGCTGCAGCCCAGGCTGCCTCCAGTCTCAGCCTTGATAACAAGTTGGTCTGTGCTGTGGAGCACCAGCAACACTTCTCTGGTTGGTTTGCCACCAACCTGGGCCTTGAAGCTACCCTTAGTGTACTGCAGGAGTCTCCTGGGTTGCTCATGGCCTGCTGTGCTGCTCTCCCAGCAGGCGTCCAGGGGTCGAGGTCCCCATCAAGATGAGAGCCTGCAGGCACAATGCTCCTTGTAGCTGAAGCAGGAAGGCCTCAGCAACAGGCTCCCCTCGGCCAGGCAGCTGCCCAAAATGCTCCTGCCCTACTTGCTCAGGTGCACCCCATCCAGTGTCAGCATGCCCAGTCTCTCAAAGGTGCATCTGAGATCACAGAACCCAAACCTGAGTATGGTACTAGCCATGCAGCATATCATTCACCTGATCCATCCACCTCCTTCTTTTGGGGTCCCAGTCTCCAACTGGGAGGATAGAGAATACTACCTGTGCTCCTGATCCCTTCAACATCTTTCAGAGGGACACAGAACCCTTTTTGATATTTCAGAGTCACTTCACTGCAGCCTTATTCGACGCTACATGAAAAAGTAGGGATAGGTTTTATTCCCTTGGCTTTACTAGGCTTGGTAGCGTCTTTGT